CTGGTCTGGATGCCAATCTTTAGGTGAATCTACATAGAACAATGAATGTAGATTAGCACCACTTGGACTGGCTAAGAGGGCCGGGTCCTCACCAAACAATAAATCCCATAGCACAAAAGGCTGAAGGGACATCTGTCGGGAGTGCTTTGATGGTTCTTTTTCTGCCTGGCAGAAAGGGGTTGGACTGGATGGCCTTTGGGGTCTCTTCCAATTCTAGGATCTTTATGATCTATCTATCTATCTTTCTTTCTTTCTTTCTTTCTTTCTTTCTTTCTTTCTTTCCATCCATCCATCCATCCATCCATCCATATATCCATCAATCTATCCAATGATCGATTGATCTATTTATCTATCTATCCATCCATCTAATGATCTGTCTATCCATCCATCTGTACAACGATCAATCTATCTATCCACCCAACTATCTATCTATCTATCTATCTATCTATCTATCTATCTATCCATCCATTTATCCACAAAAGTATCTATCTATCCACCAACTGTCTGTCTGTCTATCTATCTATCTATCCATCCATCTAATGATCTGTCTGTCTGCCTATCTATCCACTCATCCATCCATCCATCCATCCATCCATTGATCTATTATTCTATCCATCCAAAAAAGTATTTATCTATCCACCAACTGTCTGTCTGTCTGTCTGTCTGTCTGTCTATCTATCTATCCATCCAATGATCTATCTCTATCTAGCCACTCTATCTATCTATCCATCCATCCATCCACCCATCCATCCATCCAATGATCCATCTATCCATCCAACAATTTCTCCATCTATCTATCTATCTATCTATCTATCTATCTATCTATCTATCCATCCATCCATCCATCCATCCATCCATCCATCCATCCATCCATCCAGTGATTCCTCTATCCAGCCATCTATCCATCCGACGATCTCTCCATCTATCTATACATCCATCCATCTATCCATCCAACCAACCATCCAATGATCCACCCACCCACTATCTATGTATGTATCTATCTATCTATCTATCTATCTATCTATCTATCTATCTATCTATCTATCTATCTATCTATCTATCTATCTATCTATCTATCATCTATCTATTATCTACCTACCATCCATCCACCCAACGATGGATCTATCTATCCATTCATCCATCTCTCTTTCTCTCCCTCTCCCTCTCTCTCTCTCCTCCCTCTGGAGGTCTTTAAGCAGAGTCTGGATAGCCATCTGTTGGGAGTGCTTTGATGGTGTTTGTCCTGCCTGGCAGGAGGGGGTTGAACTAAATGGCCCTTGGGGTCTTTTCCAATGATTCTATGGTGCCAAACTGCACCCCATAGACAATGTTTATATATGTGGTTGTCATCTTCCCCGCCTCTCCCAGTTGTGGGCCCCATCCTCATTAGGAGAGGATATACAACAGAGCTTTGCAAACTTTCCACAGTTTTAGGACAATGCCTCCTTTTGCCACATAGTCGTTAGGTTTCACTAGCATGCTGGAGGTGAAACCAACCCCTTAGAAGACTTTCATGCAAGATATAGATATATAATATATACATATTATATATCTATAATATGTAAGCCACTGATATATATACATATTATATATCAGTTTTGTATAATTTTGACTGTATAAATAAGGTTTTGAAGGGTTTCCCTTTGTGCTTCTGATATCCTACACTTGATTCCTGTCTTGATCCCTTTCTAGGCACTCAAACGGTTAATTAAGTGACTGACATTGAAAGGTTATTTGGAAATATAAACAGTGACGGATCCCTAAGCTGTTCTACCATTGCAAAATTGCTAAAGGAGTATTATATCGGCTCTCTTTTAACTGTTAACCCAATTAAAGTGTTGTGGCTGCTACATCATCTCAGCCTCTGATTCAATCTGGATTTTTTTTTTCAGTATAGTAATTTGATCCAGATTCCCTGTTGGATACAATCCCAACAAAGGAGCTGGTTTGCAATCCTTGCTGCCTCCATCTAATGGCATCCCCTCCCACAAGGATTGATTACGATAATCTCGTTAATTAAAAGCAACCACCAATTAAAAATCCATCTTAGGAGGAAACAATGGAAAGAGGTTTTGGCGAAGCATTTCATGGCCGGAAAGACTGGGTTGTTGTGAGTTTTCAGGGCTGTCTGGCCATGTTCCAGAAGCATTCTCTCCTGAGGCTTTCCCCACATCTGTGGCAGGCATCCTCAGAGGTTTTGAGGTCTGTTGGAAATTAGACAAGTGGGTTTATATATCTGTGGAATAATGTCCAAGATGGGGGAAAGAACTCTTGTCTGTTGGAGTGAGGTGTGAATGTTACAATTGGCCATCTTGATTAGCATTTAATGACCTAGCAGTTTCAAGGCCTGGCTTCTTACTGCCTGGGGGAAACCTTTGTTGGGAGGTGATCAGCTGGCCCTGATTGTTTCTTGTCCGGAATTCCCCTGATTTTTTTAGTGTTGTTCTTTATTTACTGCTTCTGGAACATGGCCACACAGCCCGGAAAACTCACAACAACCCAGTCTTTCCGGCCATGAAAGCCTTCACCAAAACCTCCTTCCATTGTTTCCTCCTGAGATGGATTTTTTAATTGGTGGTTGCTTTTAATTAATGAGATGATCCTAATCGATCCTTGTGGGAGGGGATTCCAGGAGGTTTAATGTGTGGCCTGGATCCAGGTATCTTCTTTTTCTTTTTCTTTTTCCTCTTCTTCCTCTTTCTCTACTTCTTCTTTTTTTTCTTCCTCTTCCTCTTCCTCTTCCCTCTCCTCCTCCTCCTCCTCTTCTTTTTCTTCTACTTCTTCCTCCTCCTCCTCTTCTTTCTCTTCCTCCTCCTCCTCCTCCTCCTCCTCTTACTTCTTCTTCCTCCTCCTCCTCTTCTTCTTATTTACTTCTTTATTTATTATTTCTCGCATTTCCTTCCCGTCCTTCTCAACCCCCAAAGGGGGACTCAGGACGGCTTACAATGGGCCCCATTCCGAAGCCATACATAACAAATTACAAAATTAAAACCACAATTAGACATAAAAGCATAATTAACAATACATAAGCCATCATTAAAACAGTAAAACTGTCTCATCAGCCATATCGTCATTCCAGTCACATTCCCTTAAATTTGCATCTACTGTCCAAAAGCCTGGTCCCAAAACCATGCCTTTAGTTTCTTTCGAAAAACTAGGAGAGGGAGGTGGCCAATCTTACCTCAGCTGGGAGTGTGTTCCATAGGCGGGGGGCCACCGCCGAGAAGGCCTTGTCTCTCGTCCCCACCAGGCACATTTGTGCTGTTGACGGGAGCGAGAGAAGGGCCTCCTCGGATGATCTTAGGTTTCAAGGTGGGACATAGGGGTGGATGCGTTCAGACAAGTAAGCTGGGCCAGAACCGTATAGAGCTTTATAGGTCAGAACCAGCACTTTGAATTGGGCTCGGAGGTTGACTGGCAGCCAGTGGAACTGGCACAACGGGGGTGGTATGCTCTCTGTATGTCGTCCCAGTTAGTAGTCTGGCTGCTGACCGTTGAACTAGCTGAAGTTTCCGAACCGTCTTCAAAGGCAGCCCCACGTAGAGCGCATTGCAGTAATCTATTTGGGATGTAACTAGAGCATGGACCACCGTGGCCAAGTCAGACTTCTCAAGGTACGGGCGCAGCTGGCACACAAGTTTTAGTTGTGCAAAAGCTCCTCTGGCCACCGCCGAGACCTAGGCTTCCAGGCTCAGTGATGAATCCAGGATCACTCCCAAGCTGTGAACCTGCGTCTTCAGGGGGAGTGTGACCCCATCCAACACAGGCTGTAACCCTATGCTTCTTCCTCCTCTTCTACTTCCTCCTCCTTCCTCTTCCTCCTCCTCTTTTCCTCTTCTCTTCCTCCTCTTCTTCTTCTTCCTCCTCCTCCTCCTCTTCCTCCTCCTCCTCTTCTTCTCTTCTTCTTCCTCCTCCTCCTCCTCCTCTTCTTCTTCCTCCTCCTCCTCTTCTCTTCTTCCTCCTCCTCCTCCTCCTCTTCCTCCTCCTCTTCCTCCTCCTCCTCTTCTTCTCTTCTTCTTCTTCCTCCTCCTCCTCTTCTTCTCTTCTTCTTCTTCCTCCTCCTCTTCCTCCTCCTCCTCTTCCTCCTCCTCCTCTTCTCTTCTTCTTCTTCCTCCTCCTCTTCTTCTCTTCTTCTTCTTCCTCCTCCTCTTCCTCCTCCTCCTCTTCCTCCTCCTCCTCTTCTCTTCTTCTTCTTCCTCCTCCTCTTCTTCTCTTCCTCTTCCTCCTCCTCCTCTTCTCTTCTTCTTCCTCCTCCTCCTCTTCTTGTCTTCTTCCTCCTCCTCCTCTTCGTCTCTTCTTCTTCTTCCTCTTCTTCCTCTTTTTCTCTTCTTCCTCCTCTTCCTCTTCTTCCTCCTCCTCTCTTCTTCTCTTCTTCTTCCTCCTCCTCCTCCTCTTCCTTCTTCTCTTCTTCTTCCTCCTCCTCTTCCTCTTTCCTCTTCTCCTCTTCCTCCTCCTCCTCCTCTTCTCTTCTTCTTCTTCCTCCTCCTCTTCTTCTCTTCTTCCTCCTCCTCCTCTTCGTCTCTTCTTCTTCTTCCTCTTCTTCCTCTTTTTCTCTTCTTCCTCCTCTTCCTCTTCTTCCTCCTCCTCCTCTTCCTTCCTTCTTCCTCTTCCTCTTCCTCTCTTCCTCCTCCTCCCTCCTCCTCTTCTTCCTCTCTTCCTCCTCCTCTTCTTCTTCTTCTTCTTCTTCATTCTGTGCCCTAGCTCTTGGGAAGTTCGGACTGAAACCCGGAGCGGATCCTGGGGACGTAGCAAGGCCCTTTGAGCCCAGCCTGAACCCAGGCCCCCCCTCCCTCTCTCCCTCCGGAGAAGGATGGAAGGAAGGAAGGAAAGGAGGGAGGGAGGAGGAAGCACGGGAGAAAGCAAGCAAGCAAGGAGGAGGAGGAAGAAGGCGGCGTCTGCCTGTCCCTCTTTCCAGGGAAGTCCTTTCTTAGCGCCTGGACGAGACGGAGGTACGGACGGAGCGCTCCGGACCCGCTTCTATCGCGCTTGCGGCCCCTCCGATGGGGCGACCCCCGCCTCCTCTCCTCCTCCTCCTCCTCCTCTTCTTCCTCCTGCCGCTGCTCCAAGGAACAGGTGAGTGAGGCTCAGGAGGTGGGCTACAACGCCCAGCATCCACCTCCTCCTACTGCTGTTAGGAGCTGGTGAATTAACCTTTGGTTGCGGGACTACAGAGCAGGTAATCTTCCTCTTCTTTTTCGGGACGGGTGACTACAAAGCCCATTCTCCCTCTTCTTAGGGACGGATGACTACAAAGCACATCCTCTTCTTATTGGGGGTGGATGACTAGGAAGCCCACGCCCTCCTCTTTGGAATAGATGACTACAAAGCCCACCCTCATCTTCTTAGGGGTGGCTGACTATGAAACCCACTCTCCTCCTCTTCTTAGGGATGGATGACTACAAAACCCATCCTCTTTTTTATTGGGAAATGCACGACTACAAATCCCATCTCCCTCTTTGGGATAGATGACTATAAATCCCATATTCCTCTTCTTAGAGGTGAATGACTACAAAGTCCACTCTCCTCCTCTTCTCAGGGATGGATGACGACAAAGCCCATCTTTTTATTGGGGATGTACAACTACAAAGTTCACCCCCCCCTCAAGATAGATGACTACAAATCCCACTTTCCTCCTCTTCTCAGGGATGGATGACTACAAAGCCCACCCTCCGATTCTTGGGGTGGGTGACTACAAAACCCATCCTCTTTTTATTGGGGATGTACAACTACAAAGTTCTCCCCCTTCTTCAAGATAGATGACTACAAAGCCCACTTTCCTCTTCTTCTCAGGGATAGAGGACTACAAAGCCCATCCTCTTTTTTATTGTGAAATGCACGACTACAAAGCCCATCTCCCCCTTTGGGATAGATGACTGTAAATCCCATCTTCTGCTTCTTAGAGGTGAATGACTACAAAGTCCACTCTCCTCCTCTTCTCAGGGATGGATGATGACAAAGCCCATCTTTTTATTGGGGATGTACAACTACAAAGTCCCCCCCCCTCAAGATTGATGACTACAAATCCCACTTTCCTCCTCTTCTCAGGGATGGATGACTACAAAGCCCATCCTCTTTTTATTGGGGATGTTTGACTACAAAGCCTACCATCATCTTCTGTATAGGTAACTACAAAGCCCATCCTCTTCGTCTTAGGGGTAGATGACAACAAGGCCCATCCCCCCTTTTTTAGGAGTGGGTGACTACAAAGTCCATTCTCTTTTTATTGGGGATGTACTACTCCAAAGCCCGTCCCTCTCCTCTTTGGGATAGGTGACTACAAAGCCCATCCACCACCTCTTCTTCTCAGGGATGAAAGGCTGCAAAGTCCTCTACACTCTCCTCTTCGGGATAGATGACTAACAAAGCCCATCCTCCTTTTCTGAGGAGGGTGGATGACTACAAAGCCCAGCATCCATATGCTGCTGCTAGGAGTAATTATACTAATAATAATAATAATAATAATAATAATAATAATAATAATAAACTTTATTTGTACCCCGCTACCATCTCCCCAAGGGACTCGGTGCGGCTTACATGAGGCGATAGGTGGTATGGTGACTCCAAAGCCCAGCATCCACATGCTCTTGCTGCTGCTAAGGAGGGGTTTCTCCATCTTCCCTGTTATAAGACCTTTTCTATTCACCTGTCCCTTATACGTGGTATCCTTTCCTTTTTGGAAGCCCTCTCTTCGCCTTTGCAGCCACAGTGGTGTGAATGCAGCCAGCCTGGCCTTTTCCTCATGACCTTTGGCCTCGCTGCTGCTGCGTCCCTTCTTCCGGATGGAGGGACATGTCTGGCCAGTCCAGTTGGCCCCTCTGGCATCCAGTTTGGCTACTGCCAGCCATTGACGTGGCCACAAGAGGAAAGGTCAGAGCAAAGCTTCTGTTCCTTCCCTCCCCATATTCTTATCATCACAATAACACAGACCTTGGCAGAGGCCTGGCCTCAGTCCTCCTCCGCTGACCCTGTTGCGTCAACAGGGAGGGAACTCTGCACGTTCTCAGGCGCTCCTTGACCCAAAGACATGGGCAAATAGAGCAAAGCCAAAGGGAGGGGAGGGAGAGGCTAGCTGGCTGGACCATCACAGGTTCCCAACACCACCCATCCCTTTCCCTTTTCCCTCCCTTCACCCCTCTCCCTTTCCTCTCCTTTTCCTTCACTCCTCTCTTTTTGTCCTTTCTTTTTCCTTTCCTTGCTTCCTTCCTTCCCCTCTCCCATCCTTCCTTCATATTTTCCCCTCTCCCTCCCTCCTTGCCTTCTCCTTTATTTCCTCTTTCCCTTCCTTTCCTCATTTCTTCCCTCCCTTCCTTCCCCTCTTCTGTCCTTTCTTTCCGCATTCAATTCCTTTCTACCTTTCCCTCGTTTGTTTCCTCTTTCCCTTCCTTTCCATCATTTCTTTTCTCCCTTCCTTTCCCTTTCCTCTTCTTCTATCCTTTATTTCAGCTTTCAGTTCCTTTCCTCATTTCTTCCTCCCTCCTTTCCTTCCTTCCTCTCTTTCCTTCTTTCTTTCCTATCTTCCATCCTCCTTTCCCCCTTCCATCCTTCCCCTTTCTTTCTTTCTTTCCCCTTTCCTTCCCCCCCTTTCTTTTTTTTCCCTTCCTTCTTCCTTCCTTCCTCTTCCTTCCTTCCTTCCTTCCTTCCTTCTCTTTCTTCCTTTCTCCTTCTTTCTTTCCTCCTTTCTTCCTTCTCTTTCTTCCCTTCCTTCCTCCTCCCCTCCCTCTTTCCACTCCCCTCCTTTCCTTCCCTTCTCCTTCCTTTTCCTTTTTTCCCTTTCTTTCCATCTTCCTCCTTTCTTTCCTCTTCCTCCCCTTCCTTCCTTCCATCCTCCTTCCTTCCTTCCCCTTTCTTTCCTTTCCTTCCTTCCTTCCTTCTCCCTTCCATCATTTCTTCCTTCCCTTTCCTTCCTTTCTTCTTCCTTCCTCTTCCTTCCTTCCTTTCCTTCCACATTTCCTTAACTTCTCTTTATTTCCCCCTTTCCTTCCTTTCCATCCTTCCCTTATTCCCCATCCCTCCTTTCCTTCCTCTCTCCTTCCTTCCTTTCATTTTCCATTCTTCCCATCCTCAATCCTTTCTTTCCTCTTCCCCTTCTTTTCCATCCATCCCTCCCTCCTTGCCTTCCTTCCCCTCTTTCTTTCCTTTCATTTTTTCCTCCCCTCCCCTCCCCTCTTCCATTCTTTCTTTCAGGGTGAAAAGGGTGAAATATAAATGCTGGAAATACATTTCATCTTTCCCTTCCTTTCCTTCCTTCCCTTCCCCTTCCTTTCCTTCCTCTTTCCTTTTTTCTTCTTTCCTTTCCTTCCTTCCTGCCCTCTTCCATACTTTCTTTCATCTTTCCCTTCCTTTCCACTCTTCCCTTCCTTCCCCTTTCTTCTTTCATTTCCTTCCCTTCTCTTCCAACCTTTCTTTTCTCTTCCCTTTCCTTGCCACTCTTTCCTCATTTCTTCCTTCCTTCCATCCCTCCTTTCCTTCCTTCCTTCCCCTCTCCCATCCTTTCTTTCCTCTCTCCCCTTCTTTCCATCGTTCTCTCCATCTACATTTTATCAATTTCCTAGAAAAGGGCCCCAAATGATTGACCCAGGGCCTGAGTCCTCCAAAGCAGCTGCAGCCCTTGAGTTGGCAATGGAAAGAAGCAAGTTCCTGGGTTGAAGCCAGACCCTCTCGGCGGTGGCCCCCACAAAGCTATGAGAGCCATTACATCCAATATATTTCTTGGGGTCCTTCTGTTGACTTTTTTGCACAATGGTACAGAAGACAGACCCTTCCATTTGCCTCATGGAAAGCAGATGGGGGTGGCCTCCATCCCAGGGGGACAGTGAATCTGCTCCAAGTTTCAAACCAAGCTTTAGAGGGGATCTCTAGTGTGCTGCAGGTTCTGATCCGGGTGCTTGGTTGTCCTTCTTTTCTTCCAACAGAAGCAGCAGGAAGAGGAAGAGGAAACGCTCCGCTACGGAGCCGGAGGGGCATCTTCCAGCTGGCAGGGGCCATCCTCTGCTCCACAGGGCGCACCCCCCTGGCCTACCTGCGCTACGGCTGCTACTGCGGGCTGGGAGGCAGCGGGTGGCCCCGGGACAAGGCCGACTGGTAAGGCAAGCAATGCTTCGCATAAGCGGCTGAGGGGGAAAAGGAAAGGGCCCGAGGCTGTCAGGAATGGTGGGAGTTGGAGTCCAAAACCCCTGGAGGGAGGGCCCAAGTTGGCCCATGCCTGCATTATACCATACTGTCTCTATACCAGTATATAGTTTTTAACAACTCCAGACATTTCCACCATTAGATTGAATGCCAAGTGCAAGAGCAGAGCAATCAATAATCCAAAAAGTCTCAGGCTCAGCCATCGATGTGGATAAACTCCTTCAGCAGCCCATGAAGCAAGACTACTCTCCAAACTGTGTCTCGCTCTGCTTCTCTCTTCAATCTCTCTCTCTCTCTCTGCACCTGCTTAGCTCAAGCCTGAACAAAAATGTAACAGTATCCAAAAGTCCCAGGTTCAGCCACCATGTGGATAAATTTCTTCAGCAGCTCTTGAAGCAAGAGTACACTGCAAACTTTGTCTCTCTCTGCTTCTTCCTTCAAACTCACTCACTCACTCTCTCTCTCTCTCTCGACACCTGCTTAGCTCAAGACTGAACAAAAATGTAACAGTATCCAAAAGTCTCAGGCTCAGCCATCTTCCCGGGTATTGCCTAACCAATCAGCTTCATGCATCTTATTTTACTGTTGACACACACATATTAATCGATTCCTTGCATGCTCCAACAAGGATGCATCTTCGACTTTTTAAGCGCCATATTAGGCTGCTAGGAATTGTGGGAGTTGGAGTCCAAAACACCTGGAGGGCCCAAGTTTGCCCAAACCATACTATCTTTATAGGAGCCCCTGGTGGCGCAGTGGGTTAAACCCCTGTGCGACAGGTCGCATGTTCGAATCCGGGGAGAGGCGGATGAGCTCCCTCTATCAGCTCCAGCTCCTCATGCGGGGACATGAGAGAAGCCTCCCACAAGGATGATAAAAACATCAAATCATCTAGGCGTTCCCTGGGCAATGTCCTTGCAGATGGCCAATTCTCTCACACCAGAAGCGACTTGCAGTTTCTCAAGTTGCTCCTGACACAACAAAAAACCCCCAAAAAACAAAAAAAACCTATCTTTATACCAGTATATAGTTTTAACAACTCCAGACATTTCCACCATTAGATTGAATGCACAAGTGTAAGAGAAGGGCAACCAATAATGTAAACGCGTTGGGTTTATTATCAAAGAGGATAATTCATAAACTTGTAGCTAAAGGATGAAATGCAACCATCGATAAGCAAAAGGAAGATCGGTTTCATGTTTGCACCAGAACGTGCCATGTTTGAAGTAAAAAAAAATTCCAAATGCAACATGCCACGCTGGACTTTGCCTGCGGAAAAGAAACCACATCCTTTATGGTGCTTTTAGAACCAAAACAACTCCCCAAAATATAGTCATTTGCATGGGATAAATGTTATGACCTTCCGGCCGCTTGTATTTTAAGCTTCAGGGGAAACAAAACTTTTGTTGATCCTTATACTTAAAGACGAAGGAGATCTGGCCACAATTGCAACCTATTGGCCCAGAAGGGAGTTGTGGTTTTGCAAGGTCGTCATCCCTCTCTGCCTCACCAAACTGCAACTCCCTTTACCCCATTGCATGGAGCTATGGTGGTTTCAAGTGGTGTGAAACAACAGGTAGGATACTCAACGGGACAGATTTCAGGAACTGATGCGCGTCAATGAAAGCATTGATGCATTAAGTGCATGCTCATTAGAATTTGCATTTTTACTGCCGGCTAGGAAGTGTCATAAAGTATGCGTCAATAACGACAGAGATAAAATTAAAATGAAACATGGCTTTCTTTCCTCTTTTCACTTGCTGCAGCGTAGGTTAATTTTGAACTGCATTGCTTGTTTAATGTTGTGAGTTGTTTCGTGTCACAATGAAGATATAAAAGCTGGATATTATTATTACTATTATTATTATCCCACTTTCATCTCTATATATTATTTGATACACAACAAGATTAGTACACAGCAAACGAGATCACTCTGCTGGCTTTTGTATTGCATCACACGTCGGACACTGTGTGATGTATGGGCGAATAATGCGTGCAGATTCGAGAAGGGTGGTAATTTTGTCAGCGTCGATTGTTTTTAAGTGCAGGCCAAGGTCTTTAGGTGCTGCACCCAGTATGCCAATTACCACTGGGACCACCTTTACTGGCTTGTGCCATTATCATAATCATCATCATCGGAGTTAAAAGTGGAATGATGATGATGATGATGACAATAATAATAAAATGGAGATAGAAGTGAGGTGATGATGATGATAGTAAATCAATGGAGATAAAAGTGGGCTCAGAGGTTTTTCTAACCCTTCAATACAAGATTATTATCCCACCTTTATCTCAATTTAGATAACTAATATTATTAATAATATCTTTTATCTCAATGCAGATAAAAATAGGTTATTATTAAATCAATAGAGATAAAATTTGGATAATAATAATACTATGGATCCAAAAACTGCACAGAGGGTTTCCTAGTCCTTCAATAGCATGTTGTTGTTGTTGTTGTTGTTGTTGTCCTCTCTCTTCATTGATGTATGGAGATAAAAGTGGGATGATGATGATGATGATGACGATAACTATAATGATAATAATAATAATAGGAGCCCCCGGTGGCGCAGTGGGTTAAACCGCTGAGCTGCTAAACTTGTTGACTGAAAGGTTGCAGGTTCGAATCCAGGGAGTGGCGAGAGCTCCCGCTTTCAGCCCCAGCTTCTGCCAACCTAGCAGTTCGAAAACATGCAAATGTGAGTGGACCAATAGGTACTACTCTGGTGGGAAGGTAATGGTGCTTCATGCAATCATGCCGGCCACATTACTTTGGAGGTGTCTACGGACAATGCCGGCTCTTTGTCTTAGAAATGGAGGTGAGCACTACCCCCCAGAGTCAGACATGACTAGACTTAATGTCAGGGGAAACCCTTTACCTTAATAATAATATGGATCCAAAAAACTGCTCAAAGGGTTTCCTAGCCTTTCCTAGCCTGTGCATGGGTTTCCTCTTCAAAGACATGGCAACAGAGTGTAAGAGTTTCCAAAACCACTTTGCAAATTTGGGCCAATAATTTGGGATTATTTCAGACAAATCAGGAGAAAGGAAAGGCAATCGCCCCCGATGTTTCACACTATAACTCCCCTCCTACTCTTAGGACTGATGGTGCATGTAGTCCAGAACAAGTGGAGTTTGGGGTGCCTTCTTTCTGGCCACGGCTCCTGCGATCCACATTGGAGGGGGATTCTGGGACTTGCGCTCCACAGAGGTTAGGATACTGATATCCAGGCTTCATCTCATAGAATCACAGAGTTGGAAGGGACCCCAGAGGCCATCCAGTCTAAACAATTTCTTGACAGGCAGGAAAAGCACAATCAAAGACCTCCTGACAGATGGCCATCCAGACTCCGCTTAATAATACTATTTTTCGTGTCAGGAGCAACTTGAGAAACTGCTTCTGGTGTGAGAGAATTGGCTGTCTGCAAGGATGTTGCCCAGAATACACCTGGAAGATTTATATTTTACCATTCTTGTGGGTGCACGGAGAGCTGGAGAATTGGCTGCCTGCAAGGACATTGCCCAGGGGATGCCTGCATGTTTGGATGTTTGACCATCCTTGTGGGTGCATGGGGAGCTGGAGAATTGGCCGTCTGCAAGGACGTTGCCCAGGGGATGCCTGCATGTTTGGATGTTTTACCATCCTTGTGGGTGCATGGGGAGCTGGAGAACTGGCTGTCTACAAGGACGTTGCCCAGGGGACACCCAGATGTTTTGATGTTTTACCATCCTTGTGGGTGCATGGGGAGCTGGAGAACTGGCTGTCTGCAAGGACGTTGCCCAGGGGACACCCAGATGTTTTGATGTTTTACCATCCTTGTGGGTGCATGGGGACCTGGAGAACTGGCTGTCTGCAAGGACGTTGCCCAGGAGACACCCAGATGTTTGGATGTTTTACCATCCTTGTGGGTGCATGGGGAGCTGGAGAACTGGCTGTCTACAAGGACGTTGCCCAGGGGACACCCAGATGTTTTGATGTTTTACCATCCTTGTGGGTGCATGGGGAGCTGGAGAACTGGCTGTCTGCAAGGACGTTGCCCAGGGGACACCCAGATGTTTTGATGTTTTACCATCCTTGTGGGTGCATGGGGAGCTGGAGAACTGGCTGTCTGCAAGGACGTTGCCCAGGGGACACCCAGATGTTTTGATGTTTTACCATCCTTGTGGGTGCATGGGGAGCTGGAGAATTGGCTGTCTGCAAGGATGTTGCCCAGGGGACACCCAGATGTTTGGATGTCTTACCATCCTTGTGGGTGCATGGGGAGCTGGAGAATTGGCTGTCTGCAAGGATGTTGCCAGGGGACGCTTGCATGTTTGGATGTTTTATCATCCTTGTGGGTGCATGGGGAGCTGGAGAATTGGCTGTCTGCAAGGACGTTGCCCAGGAGATGCCTGGATGTTTGGCCATCCTTGTGGGTGCATGGGGAGCTGGAGAATTGGCTGTCTGTAAGGACGTTGCCCCAGGGGACACCTGGATGTTTGGATGTTTTACCATCCATGTCCCTGCATGGAGAGCTGGAGCTGACAGAGGGAGCTCAACCCGCTCTTCTCAGATTTGAACTGCTGACCTATCGGTTAGCAATCCTGCTGGCACAAGGGTTTAACCCATTGCACCACTGCAATATACTAGAAGCACCCTCCCCAAAGACCATACAGTCCAATCCTTTCTGGTCAAGCAGGAAAAGCACAATCAAAGCCCTCCTAACAGATGGCCATTCAGCCTGTGCTTAATAAGAGCAACAACAACAACATTAGAATTGGAAGGGACCCCTAAAGGCCATCCAGTCCAAACCCTTTCTGCCAGGCAGGAAAAGCACCATTAAAGCCCTCCCGACAGATGGCCATCTTGGTGGACCTCTCTTTGCAAAAGGATTCTTTAATGGGTGGGAGGAGGAGATCTGTAGTCCCACGGTTCATCCTGGTGGCCGAGGAGAGTTTCCCACATAACACTATGTCCCTCCTGTAAAAACAAAACAAAGCGTTTGCAGTTTAATAAACTTTGTCCATGTTTTTATGATCGAAACCATTAGGAAAGGACATCTACAACCCAGGAGCAAAAATGGTGTGTCTTAGTGCAATCCCAGCCTTGCAGGGGCCCAGTGACTGACGCTTTCTCTTTGGGCAGGTGCTGCTTCCGCCACGACTGCTGCTACGCCGAGGCCGAGAAGGAGGGCTGCGACCCCAAAATGGGCAGCTACCCCTGGGAATGCGAGGACAAGGAGGCCAGCTGCGGTGAGAGAATCGTAGAAGAGTTGGAAGAGACCGCATGGGCCATCTAGTCCAACCCCCTTCTGCTAGGCAGGAAAAGCACAACCAAAGCACCCCCAGCAGATGGCCATCCAGCCTCTGTTTGAAAGCCTCCAAGAAAGGAGCTTCCAGTACACTTTGCAGTCCCTTCCTGTCGCTCACTTTCTTGCATTCACTTTGCACTCCAAGGCTGGAGCATTTCACCATTTTGAGTCTCCATTTGGGGCAAAGCAGACCCTTGCAGTGCAGTGATTTGAGGTCCTTTAGACCCCATGCTTCCCCCTCCTACCATATCCATAAGACATAGCCCCTCTCAGAATGGCCATATAATGCAGTTTATATGGCAGTGTAGACTTCTTATATCAGGCAGTTCAATGCATTGAAACTCCATTATGAAACTGCATTATATGGCAATGTAGATAACAAGAGAGTTGTACATGGAGCAAAGAAAAGTGATTTCAGGTTACCCTTCGGCCAATGGGGAGAGAAGGTTGGGGGACACAACCATTAACTGTGTCATAAGGCATGACTTGCCATTTTTCATTGAATTTTAGAGTTGGAAGGGGCACCAAGGGGCCATCCAGTCCAACCCCTACTTTCCGCCAAGCAGGAAAGCACCATCTGATCCCTCCCAAAAGATGGCCATTGAGCCTCATTGACCTCACGTTCATGGGAGAAATAGGGCTATAGAGTAAAAGACTCCTGGAGTTGGAAGTAGTCCCCAAAGCCAGAAAAGATAATGGAGATAAAAGTGGGATACTACTACTACTCTGAGTCCAAAACACTGCTCAGAGGGTTCACTAGCACTTCCATTCAAGGTGATGATGATGATGATTATCATCATCCCACATTTATCTCCATTCATGATTATGATTATTATTATTTGGAACACAAAAAGATTAATCCACCGCAGACAAGATCACTATTCTGGCTGTTGTATTCAATCACACATTATTATTATTATCCTACTTTTATCCCCATTTATTATTATTATTATTATTATTATTATTATTATTATTATTCAATTGAGATAAAAGTATGATATTATTAGTAATAATAAATCAATTGAGATAAACATGGAATAATAATAATACATCATAATAATCATACATAATAATAATAATAATAATAATAATAATAATAATAATAAATCACACAGTCCTAGACGCTTGGGAAGTGTTCGACTTGTGATTTTGTGATACGAAATCCAGCATATAGATCTCGTGTCGTACTGTGGTTTTGTGTCAGTAATAATAACAACAATAATAGTAATAACTACTCTGGGACTTCCATCCAAACTACTCTGGGACTTAGGAATGCAGACTGACAAAGTTTTGGAGCATAATACTCCTGACCTCACAAGTGTGGAAGAACAACAAGTATGGATAATTGATGGTGCAATCCCAGGTGACAGCAGGATTAATGTGAAGCAACTGAAAAAACTTACAGGATATGAGGATTTAAGGATCGAACTGCAAAGACTCTGGCACAAGCCAGTAAAGGTGGTCCCAGTGGTAATTGGCACACTGGGTGCAGTACCTAAAGACCTTGGCCTGCACTTAAAAACAATTGGAACTGACAAAATTACCATCTGCCACCCTGATCAGATCTGCACACATTATTTTGCAGATATATCACACAGTCCTAGACATTTGGGAAGTGTCCGACATGTGATCAAATACAACAGCCAGCAGAGTGATCTTGTTTGCTGTGTACCAATCTTGTTGTATATTGAATAATAATAATAATAATAATAATAATAATAATAATAATACATCACACAGTCCTAGACACTTGGGAAGTGTCCGACTTGTGATTTTGTGATACGAAATCCAGCATATAGATCTCGTTTGCTGTGACATACTGTGCTTTTGTGTCAATAATAATAATAACAACAACAATAATAATAATAAATCAATGGAGATAAAAGTGGGATGATGATGATAATAATACTATGGGTCCAAAAACTGCCCGGAGGGTTTCCTAGCCCCTTCAATACATCTACATCATCATCCTCATCATCATCCTCATCCTCATCAACAACATTCTCAATGGAGATAATGGCAGAATAAATAATAATAATAATAATAATAATAATAATAATAATAATAATAATGACAACAGTACTACTATGGATCCAAAAAACTGCTCAGAGGGATTCCTAGTCCTTCAGTACAGTTCAACCCCCTTCTGCCATGCAGGAAAAACACAATCAAAGCCCTCCCGACAGATGGTCAACCAACCTCCGCTCAAAAGCCTCCAAAGGAAGATCGTCCACTGGACTCTAAGGCAAGGAGTTCCACTGTGGAACAGCTCTTCTTATGGCTAGGAAGTTCTTCCTAACATTTAGACCCCATGCTTCTCCATAGCTCAAAACTGACCCTCAATGGAGTGAGGAAATGCATTTACGCTCATCTCTGGGCTATGCTGCAGAGGGCTGGGTGGGGGCTTGCTTTCCTCACTCCTGAACCTCGTTTTCTCTCTCTTTGCAGACGACATCAAGGACGACAAGTGCCAGAAGCTGGCCTGCAAGTGCGACCGGGAGGCTGCCCATTGCCTGTCTGAAGCCCCTTACCAGCCCACCTACGTCTTCTGGCCACTCTCTTCCTGTGGCAGCCGCAGCCCCAAATGCAAAGGCAATTAGGACCATGACCAAAGCGAAGGGGCCACACATTTCGTTTCTCCACTCTGTTGTGTCATCTCATGATAATACCATATTTACTCAAATCTAATGCTCACCCTTTTGGGGCTAAATTACCTTTCCAAAATTAGGGTGCGCATTAGATTTGTGCAATATGGTAATCTTAGTGCCAGGCCAGTGCAAAAGAGAAAGCTACTCCAGGAGTTCCTATTTGAGGGATGTCATCTCTAATGTAGTTGCCATGGCTCAATACTATGCAGTTTGAGGATTTGTAGTTTGGTGAGGCATCCGCATTCTTTGGCAGAGAAGGCTCAAGACCTTGTAAAACTACACCCTGGGACTCCATAGCATTGAACCAAAGGAAGTAAAGTGGATTCATTCTACAGCATAGATCAGTGGTTCTCAACCTTCCTAATGCCGCGACCCCTTAATACAATGCCTCATGTTATGGTGACCCCCAGCCATAAAATTATTTTCGTTGCTACTTCATAACTGTAATGTTACTACACTTATGAATAATAATGCAAATATCTGATATGCAGGATGTACTTTCATTCACTGGACGAAATTTGGCACAAATACCCAATACACCCAAATTTGAATACTGGTGGGGTTGGGGGGGAGGGGCTGATTTTATCATTTGCGAGTTGTAGTTACAAGGATTTATAGTTCATCTACAATCAAAGAGCATTCTTAACTCCACCAACAATGGAATTGAACCAAACTTGGTTCTCCCATGACCAACAGAAAATACTGGAAGGGTTTGATGGGCATTGACATTGAGTTTTGGAGTTATAGTTCACCTACATCTACAGAACACTATGGACTTCAACAATGATAGCTCTGGACCAAACCTGGCACAAATACTCAATATGCCCAAATGTTCACACTGGTAGAATTTAGGGAAAATAGACCTTGACGTTTGAGAGCTGTAGTTGCTGGGATTTATAGTTCACCTACAATCAAAGAGCATTCTGAACCCCACCAATGATAGAATTGGACCAGACTTCCCACACAGAACCCCCATGACCAGCAGAAAATACGGTGTTTTCTAATGGTCTTTGGTGACCCCTTCGGCAACCCCTCGCAACCCCCCCCCCGGGGTCCCGACCCCCAGGTTGAGAAATACTGGCATAGGTTAATCCCAAGGTTATCTTTTCCATTGCTGGAAGCTTTGGTGTCCTTACAGTTTTGTTTTTCAAGGAATTCTAAGCAGGCAGCAACTGTAATGCGCATATTACAAAGAGTGCACCTTTTGCCGCTGCGCATTACATTCATCAGCAAGTACTTTTTCTGGTTCCAGGGTTTTGAAACTTGAGGTGCGAATTAGATTTGGTGGCGATGACACTCGAGTCAATATGGGCTGCCATGGCCTCACCATGTTGTTGTTGGCCATCAATGCAACTCTGAAGTACCATGTTCCCTCACTTATCACGGGTCTTACATTCCATGACCACCCATGAAAAGTGAAAATCCGCAAAGTAGGGACACTATATACAGTAGAGCCCCAGTTATCCGACTTCCACTTATCCGCCACTCTGTATTATCCGCCGCCACCTTTGCCACCCTCCCTCCCCTCCCCTGCTCACTCCCTTGCCCTTTCCTCCATCGCTTGCTCACTCACCGAGCCAAGTCCTGGTTCTGCCGCTGCGATCCGTCCTGGTGAGTGAGTGAGCAAGGGAAGATAGCAGCGGCGGCAGAAGCAGGAGCCTGGAAGAGGCAGCCAGGCTCCTGCTTCTGCAGCCGCCTTTGTCACCCTTCTTGCTCGCTCTCTTGCTCACTCCCTCACTCACTACTCACTGGGACCCTGCCGCTGGGACCTGGCCCCGTGAGTGAACAAGCGAGGGAATGCGGGTGAATGAGCAAGGGTGGCAAGGGCAGCAGCAGAGGCAGAAGCAGGAGTCTGTCCACCTCTTCCAGGCTCCTGCTTCTGCCGCTGCTTCCACCTTTGCGGCCTTCCCTCCCTCGCACGCTCGCTACTCACCAGGCTAGAACCAGGACTCTGCCCGGTGATTAGCAAGTGAGAGAGGGAGGATGGGTGGGTGAGCAAGTGAAGGAGGGCCGCAAAGGTGGAAGCAGCAGCAGAAGCAGGAGTCTGGAAGAGGCGGCCAAACTCCTGCTCCTGCATCTGCTTCTGCCTTTGTGGCCCTCCTTCGCTCACTCACCTGCCCTCTTGCTCACTTGCTACTCACTGGGCTGTGTCCCAGTGGCAGAACCAGTACTCGGCTCAGTGAGTAACAAGGAAGGAAAACCGCAAAACGACGAGTCTGCAAAAAGCGAACCATCAAGTAGCGAGGGAATACTCTATAGCTAGTCTCCAAATGAGGGAGTTCCACTCTTGAACAGCTCTAAGGAGTTCTTCCTAATGTCCATGTGGAATCTCCCTTCCTGTCATTTGAACCCACTACTCCGAGTCCCAGGCTCCAGCGCAGTTAGGAAGGAAGTCTCTCTCTCTTCCTTATAAGGTTTTCATGTCTCCTCTCAACCTTCTCTTCTGAGGCTAAACAGGCCCAGCTGTTGAAGCCACTCCTCAGGGGGATTATTCATGGTCCCCAGACCTTTAGTCACCCTCAAATGGACCCCTTTCATCTTGGAGTCAACAGCGGTCTTGAATTGCTTTGCCCAGAATTGGACACGGAGCTATTATTCCAGGTAAAGAGCTCAGGCCAAAGTAGAATACAGAGGAACCATGATATCCCTTGATTTAGACCAGTGATTCCCAACCTGTGGTCCATGGACCACCAGCAGCCCACAAGGATTATTCATGGTCTCCAGACCTTTGATCCTTTTAGTCTCTTTCAAATGAGCATCTTCCATTTTGGAGTCAATATCCCTCTTGAATTGCTTTGTCCAGAATTGGACTCAGGGTTAATATTCCAGCTGAAGAGGTCTGACCAAAGCAGGGCACCATGACTTCCCTTCATCTCTAGACTGTAGATTCCTTGGGATGCAACCCAAAATCCCATTGGCTCATGTTTAACTCATGGTCCACTGACACTCCATCCGCTGCTTTGCTCAAGTCTTGCAAACGGAGGGCATTCATTACCTTCCTCAATGGCCCCAATCTGGCTCCAGTGGGGCTTCCCTTCTTTGCTGCGGCCTTCCAGAAGGGGCTCAGGGACCCTCACAATGTTTACACCCATTTTTTGTGTGCCATGCGCCAAATGCTGGGGCTGGTCATGCTGGCAAACCGATATATGCCCAGTTTTTGCCACAGAGGCTCCATGTCGGAAGAAAACAGTCACAGCCTGAGAGTATGTACAGATGCACCATATCAACGCAAAACTTGCACAACAAACAACACAATTTCTCTGGTGTTGCAAACAGGACTCTGGGCAGATATCCTGACCAGGCTACAAATGTCAGCAGCTGTTTGCTTTTGCTCAAGGCTTGCCTCCTTTACAGGAAACAAGAGGATGAGATGAGAAAAGAGGAAAAGAATACTGTCGCGAATAAATATTAGGAAACAAAAATCTGGTTATTTTAATTCTTAAAAATGTCCGTAGGCAATTCAGAGGATTAATACAAACATAGGCTCAAGTTCTGATTTATAGAAGGGCACTGCATTTAAAATAAACATAATCTTGGCATACTTTAGACTGGTGGTGTGTGTGTGTGTGTATTTGTTTGTTTATCTGGATGTGTACCAAAGCCACAATGTCATTCTTGGTATATTTACATGCAGGGCAGTCCATTAAAAAAACCAAAACGAGTTGGCAAGGAGATTTGGAGAAAATCAATACAGCGAGAGAATCAATCTCACATTCATACACAAAACATGGTGGAGAAAGGAGGGAGTGAATCAGGGCAGAAGACCCCTTTAAGAAGGGAAAGGGACCCCAAACTGAGAAGTGCTTCGACATAGAACAGGGAAGAGGGGAGAAAGGAAGAGCCAAGTGCCTGAAACTGGATCTGTTTCCCTTGGCGTTCCGGCCGTCGTACATAAAAGACACCCAAATGCCACTCTTCCAAGTGCCAAAGCCACCGGGGAAAGTGCTTACCTCCATTGGATGCACGAAAGGAAAAGATTCGCCCCAAAATCAAGACTTGTCACGAAAGTAGACCCCCGCCCTCCCAACCTGCCTTCTCCCCCCCCCCCCCAAATCAGCACAAGTTTTATCTCTGCAGAAAGAAAATACAATAGAAGTGGCCTTGTTTTTCCCCTGGTTGGCCCCAGATCACACAGCAAGGGCCTCTCAGAGGACCTGGGTCTCCAAGCGCCGGATCTCCTTCACCACGAGGTCGATGTTGATGACGGGGTTGAAGTACAGGGCCCAGTAGAAGAGGCAGTTGCAGACGAACTGCGGGATGACCGGCCAGAAGAGAGCCATCAGGCAGCCCTGGGTGGACACCCGCCAGAAGTGGCCCCACATCCGCTGAGGAAGCGTCCTGAAAGGAGAGCAACAACAGAGCGAATGAAAGGCCTTCGTTCCGGGGCCTTGCATCCTTTTCTTTCCTCCTCCCCTCTCCTCAACCTGACACTGCAAGGCCCAGACCTCTTTGCAGAGCCACTGGCCAGTAAACCAAACTGCTACTGTCAATGCACCTTCATTGTTTTGGAACAGAGAGAAACAGAGCTAAAGGATAGTGCTGTGTGAAAAAGGTTTGGTTTGCGTATGTGTGCATGTTTACTTCAATCATTCTGGAACTTTCTTGCACCCATCCCTTAATGTTATTCTGCAAATTAAACTATTGTATTTTAATCTCCTCATTTCTAGTGTGTAATTGCACCAGGACTGTGAAGCAGCTGGCTGGGAGTCAGCTGCATTAAGATTACTACTGACCGAAAGGTCATGAGTTCGAAGCCAGCTCGGGTCGGAGTAAGCTTCCGACCATATCTGTAGCTTGCTGTCGACCTTTGCAGCCCGAAAGACAGCTGAATCTGTCAAGTAGGAAATTTAAGGTACCACTTATGCGGGGAAGCTGATTTAACTAATTTATGACGCAATAAAATCTCCAGTAAGAGTACAAAAGAAAGAGTAAGTACTCCATCAGTGTCACAAATGGACGGTGAAACAACAGCTCCCCTGGTGGCCAGAATACCCCCATGAAGCTGCAAAGTTAAATAACCTCTGTGTGTGTGTCTATGGCATTGAATGTTTGCCATGTATATGTACATTGTAATCCACCCTGAGTCCCCTGTGGAGTGAGAAGGGCAGAATATAAATATTGTAAATAAATAAAATAATAAATAAATTAAATAGATACTAGAGTTATTTGGGCACTGAGCCAAAAGGTTTCTAGGGCCAAGCTGGGTTTGGACCCTAACCTCCAAGTCATAGGCTAACACGCAATGACATGCTAAACCACATGTCAACCTCGAGGACTGCAAGCCAAATCCAGCCCTCTATGTCATATAACGTGGCCTTCCAGGTACTGTACTGCAATTCCTGTATTCCTCACCATTAGACATAACAAGGAGTCGCGGTGGCGTAATGGATTAAACCCTTGTGCTGGCTGAACTGCGAACCTGAAAGTCAGCGGTTCAAATCCATGAGACATGGTGAGCTCCCATCTGTTAGCTCTAGCATCCCATGCGGGCACATGAGAGAAGTCTCCCATAGATGGAAACACATCTAGGCGTCCCCTGGGCAACGTCCTTGCAGACGGCCAATTCTCTTACACCACAAATGACTTGCAGTTTCTCAAGTTGCTTCTGACATGATAAAAAAAAAACCATTAGACATCACAACTAGAGCTGAGAGTTGGGATACAGTCACATCTAGGAGGCTGCAGTTTGTTTTGTTGAGCCAGGAGAATGGGTTTGGATTGAGAGATAAGGCTTGTGGATAGGATGCCTGACCTTAGCATACCCTGTAAACTTTCCTCAACCACAGGCCTACAATTCCCACCATTATTATTATATTTATTATTTTACCCTCTTTCTTATTATTGGAAGGGTACATAAGCACATTTACATTGAAGAAGGTTAGAATTATGGTTTAATCAGAGTTGGACAGTCTTATCTTAAATTACAGTTTTATATAAATATTCAAAAACATTTATCCCACTGATGCCTCAATTAATAAAATTTTATCGGTATCTATTTTTATTTTGAAATTTAACCCTCGGCTTAAACTTGAGTCAATACATTTCCACAGTTTTTTTTGTGTGGTAAAATTAGGTCCCCCAACTTATATTCGGGTCAACTTATACTTTAGTATATATGGGTAATCTATATTTAAATTTTGTGGCTCTCTGCTTACGCTACTCATTTATGTCAAATATTAGAAGTTATTCTTTAATACAAATTTATTTATTTATTTATTTACGACATTTATTTGCCACCCTCCTCACCCCGAAGGGGACTCAGAGCGGCTTACAAGATATATATATACACACACACACACACATACATACAATATATTATATTATTAGCATAGTACAATATCAGCATTATATATTATTAAATTGTACTATTAAATTATAAATTTAATTGTAAATTGGCGGACAGGGAGCTCTGGCGTGGGCTGGTCCATGAGGTCACAAAGAGTTGGAAACGACTGAACAAATGAACAACAAAATTGTACTATACCATGATATTGTAATATTATTAGTAATATTACATGTAGTATAAAATATATAATTATCATATTATTAGTAGTAATATTATATTGTATTATATTATTATATTACAAATATTATATGTATATACAATATTATATTATCTTACATTACATTATGTTATTAGCACAGCAGTGGGGACAAGGTGGAACTAAATTAAACGAATTAAAGGCAATACTGGGCCAAGCAGACAGATACTTGTGACCTAGGCATAAATTCACTATATTAACCCTAGGCCCGTGGTTCTCAACCCTAGGTATTTTGGCCTGCAACTACCAGAAATCCCAGCTAGTTTACCAGTTGTTAGGATTTCTGGGAGTTGAAGGCCAAAACAACTGGGGATCCACAGGTTGAGAACCACTGCCCTAAGCCAATTTTAAACATAAACAGCAGCCAGAGCCACAGCATCAAGGGGGTCTTACCTGAGCTCCCTCCTGGACCAGAGCCTCCAGAAGGAGAAGAGCTCCAGGACGGAGAGCAGCATGGCGTTGACGATGATGAAGCGGGACGTCCAGTAGTGCACCTCCAGCCAGTCCCAGGCAAACTCGGCCACCAGCTGGTAGGGCAGGAAGAGGAACTTGGCCACGAACTCCCGCCACTGCTTCCAGGCCGGCTCCTTCAGGTCCTGTGGAGAGACCTTGGTCAAGAGACAGGGCAGCGAGAGCCACCGGTCAGCAGAGGACCATGGCAAGGCACCTTGCAGGGCTCAAATGCAGCCCTGAGAACTTCCTGAATGACCTCCCATCAGAAGTGCCACGTTTTTCTTTCACCAGGGAAACCAAGCGGCCTCAGAACAAAACCAAGACCATCATTTCCTAGCTACAGACCTGAACTACAGGCTCATCAGCCTTCCTCTTAAAAACTTGTATATGCCTATTATTATTATTATTATTATTATTATTATTATTATTATTGACACAAAAACACAGTATGTCACAGCAAACGAGATATATATGCTGGATTTCGTATCACAAAATCACAAGTCAACACTTCCCAAGCGTCTAGAACTGTGTGATGTATTTTCAATAATAATAATAATAATAATAATAATAATAATAATAATTTATTTATTATTTACAGTATTTATATACCGCTTTTCTCACCCCTAGGGAGACTCAAAGTGAATTACACATAGATAATGGCAAAAACTCGATGCCTTACAACTATAATACTATAATGATAATGTAATAATATAATAATATATTTTCAATATTATTATTCATATTATTATTATTATGTTGAATTACACCCTGATTTTTCTCTCCAGAAGGCGATTCAAAGCAGGGTACATTTAAAGCATTTCAAAACAATTTAAAATCTACAACTATACAAGCATTAAAAGAGAATTAAATATTTAGAGAATCCAGTTAAAATCCATAAAACCATATTCAAAACTAAAAATGACAACAACCTGCTTTAATTTGGGGAATTCTACTTATTAAACCACTGAGCTGCTGACCAAAAGGCCGGCAGTTCAAATCTGGGGAGTGGGGCGAGCTCCCACTGTTAGTCCCAGCTTCTACCAACCTAGCAGTTGGAAAACATGCAAATGTGAGTCTATCAATAGGTACCATTTAGGTGGGAAGGAACAGTGCTCCATGCAGTCATGCTGGCCACATGACCTAGGAGGTGTCTGCGGACAACGCCGGCTCTTCAGCTTAGAAATTGAGATGAGCACCAACCCCCCAGAGTTGGACATGAGTAGTCTTAAAGTCAGGGGAAACCTTTATCTTAATTATATTTATACTGCTTTAATTTGGGGAATTCAACATTATGTTAGTTGTATCTTCTCCAGCTGCAGGGAAGAACTGAATTGGGTCCTCACCTGCCAGTAGAGAAATGCATTCCCCAAAAAATAAAAAAGCCAAGAGAAAAACAAAGTTCTTTAAATACTTATTTATTAAAATGCCCACTACCTTTCAGAAAGGCAGACCAGGAAAGAGAGCTTGTTTGTTTCAAAAGCAACAGAGAAGCCCAAGCTTTCCTTTCCTGGGTAATATTATTATGAAAATTGGCATTTTATTGGTATTATATACTATATATGTGTTTTTGGTTGTGTGGTACCCTGCCTCAAGCCATGAAAACACATATTTATTTGTAATAATAATAATAATAATAATAATAATAATTCATTTCTAAGGCACACTTTTCCCCCTAAATACACATCTCTAAAAATGGGATGCATCTTAGAATCACAAGTGTATCTCATGCCTTTTTGTTGGTGGAGGCGGTATTGATAGTCAGGTGCGTCTTACAATCAATGATGTCTTACAATTGAAGAAATATAGGTAATAATAAATACTATTAAGTAAAAATAATAAATATGACTAAATAATAATATAATAAATCACAGAGGTATCTAATGTATTTTTGAGGTTAGGGTGACCATGAAATTAGGTTGTGTCTCACAATTGAAGAAATACAGTATCATAATCATTACGATCATCTGTGACTCGCATTTCAAAGCCACGCAGTCACCCCCTGCACATCTTTCCCATTGAGAGGCGAATCCAATATGGCCGCCCCTTGGCCTGGTCCTAGACCCTCACCAGCAACTTGGCAAGGATGTCCTCAAACTCCTCCTCCTCGGCAGGGCAGATGGTGTGGATGAAGGGCAGGAAGACATCCGTGTAGTCGAACAGGTAGAGGTACAGCATGGTGAGGCGCGGGGAGCTCTTCAGAGCGTAGAGCAGGAACAGGGACTTCCCCGGATGGACAGCCTGAAACAGGGAAGGAAAGAGAACAGGGAGTGAACTTTGACAGAGAGTGGGAAAGGAAGGGCCATTCAGGTCTGTGAAGCTATACAGATATATAAACACACATACAGTAATTATACACACATGTATATTAAACTGAGAGGTGAGGCTATGGGTGCTTCTAGAATTAATGTGGTCTGACCCCACTTTAACTGCCACAATTCAATGGTATGGAATGGTGGGAGATGTAGTTTCATAAGCTCTTTAAGAGTCATAGATACCGGTTTTAACTGTTTATTTTTAATACCTCTCATTGAACATCGAGAAAACCAAAGCAGGTACCAGACAATCCCTCTCCAATCCCAGAAATACAGCTTAATGGTGTAATGTTAGAAAATGTGAACCTTTTCCGCTACCTTGGCAGCCACCTCTTCACAAAAGTCAACATTGACACTGAAATACAACACTGCCTGAGCTCTGCGAGTGCAGCATTTTTACGAATGAAGTAGAGAGTGTTTGAGGACCAGGACATCCGTAGGGAGACCAAGGTGCTTGTTTATAAAGCCATTGTCCTCCCAACCCTGTTATATGCCTGCAAAACGTGGACTGTCTACAGATGTCACACTCCTGGAACGATTCCATCAATGTTGCCTCTGAAAAATCCTGCAAATTTCTTGGGAAGACAGGTGGACAAATGTCAGTGTGCTGGAAGAAGTCGAGACCATGAGCACTGAAGCGATGCTCCTACACCATTAACTCCGCTGGACTGAATGCCATTTTGTCAGAATGCCCGATCACCGTCTCCCAAAGCAGTTAACGCTACTCCCAACTCAAGAACGGAAAATGGAAAAGAGATTTAAAGATGGGCTTAAAGCCAACATTAAAAACTGTGGCATGGACACTGAGAACTGGGAAGCCCTGGTCCTTGAGCACTCTAACTGGAAGTCAGCTGTGACCAGCAATGCTGTGGAATTCGAAGAGGCGCGAATGGAGGGTGAAAGGGAGAAACGTACCAAGGGGAAGGTGCATCAAGCCAACCCCGACCGGGACCACCTTCCACCTGGAAACAAATGCCCTCAATGGGGGAGAAGATGCAGATCAAGAACAAATCTCATGGAAAGACAGGAAGCATGTCAGCATGCTGGAAGAAGCCAAGACCACCAACATTAAAGCGATGCTTCTATGAAATCAACTCCACTGGACTGAATGACACATTGTCCGAATGCCTGATCACTGTCTCCCAAAGCAGTTAACTCTACTCCCAACTCAAAAATGGGGAACAGAATGTTGGTGGACAGGAAAAGAGATTTAAAGATGGGCTTAAAGCCAACCTTAAAAACTGTGGCATAGACACCAAGATCTGGGAAGCCCTGGCCCTTGAGTGCTCTAACAGGAGGTCAGCTGTGACCAGCAGTGCTGTGGAATTCGAAGAGGCACAAATTGAGGGCGAAAGGGAGAAATGTGCCAAGAGGAGGGCGCATCAATCAAACCCTGACTGGAACCACCTTCCACCTGGAAACCGATGCCCTCACTGTGGAAGAACATGCAGGCCAAGAATAGGGCTCTACAGTCACCTACGTATTCACCACCAGAACACTGTACTTGGAAGGCCATCATACTCAGATAATGAGATATCACCTAAGTGGAAGAGTCATAGCTATTGGTTTTAACTGTTTATTTTTTTAATACTATTACTATTTAATTCTATTTTAATGTTTATAATATTTTTAGATTTTAAATTAGATTGGCTTGACTGTACGCCACTTTGAGTCCTTCTTACCTTGTACTCCCAAAGGTTCTGTGGTGGCTTGACCCCCAGCGCCTTCACGCGCTCCAGCTCCACCATGATGGCCTTTCTGTGGCTGCCGTTCTCCACGTGGTACGGGGCCCTGGCCAGGTCTTCATCCGTGAGCGTTAGGAGGAGTCTAAAGACGAGACACCCCAGAACAATAAATGTTATGGGAAAACAGGGCTACCAAGGCTAGGTTTCATCTACACCAGGCATGGGCAAACTTGGCCCCTGCAGGTGTTTTGGACTTCAACTCCCACGATTCCTAACAGCCTCAGGCCCTTTCCTTTCCCCCCTCAGCCGCTTAAGCGGCTGAGGGGGGAAAGGAAGGGGCCTGAGGCTGTTAGGAATTGTGGGAGTTGAAGTCCAAAAACACCTGAAGGGGCCAAGTTTGCCCATGCCTGGTCTACACCATTGAGACTAGGGAGATTCACGCACAATGAGGCACAGACATCTCCATCGGAGCCAAAGCATCTGCATCTAGAGCAAGAACAAGCTCCTAGCAAAGCGGACAGCGAGGTGGGAGCATGTGTCTACTCACTAATGGGTTTGAAACTTACTTGGGACACACACCACTGTTCCCCCAGTATCCTTATCACCTGAGGGGCATAAAGTTTTCAATGAGCAGGAATAATAATAATAATAATAATAATAATACTTAATTTATATCCTGCCCTATCTCCTGAAAGGGACTCAGGTTTACAACAAAAATTGATAAACATTCAATGCCAAGAAAAACCATAACAAACATATCAAATCATGGACAATCAAATAAACAAGGAAGCTGCACAAAGCAGCCCCTCTCCGTCTGTCTGTCTCTCCTATCAAAGTCACCCTATCAAGAATGAGTACAAATCGTAAAACACAAGTTAGCAGAAACCCAAGCAATGGGAGCCTTGGAGTGGAAAGATCAAAAGGAAATGGGAACGTAAAAAATGATATAAATATTTATAATAATAATAATACTTTATTTATATTCCGCCCTTCTCACCATTAGAGAAATTAGGTACCGCTAGAAGGGGAGAGGTATTTTACGAAGGGGACTCAGGGCACATCACAGGATACATACACAGCAAACGTTCAATTCCGCTTTGTATAGACAACACTGACAGGCAGAACAGAAGGTCGTTTGTTTCGACTCAGTGTCCAGCTGTTTTTGGTGCCATGGAAGGTTGAGCTCGAGTCCAGGGGGTGCTGTTGCTCTATCCTCTATGACGAACAGCTGTCAGGAATTCCTCCTTCCTTTTGGTTGCCCAGCATTTTCTGATCTTTTTTCTTTATGGCATCGTAAAATACCTCCCCCACTTTTAGCGATACCTAATTTCTCTAATCACAGCTAAAGCTGTTTTCAAATTGCTTAGGTAAACAATTGTCTAGGTTAACAGTTGCCAGCTCACGCCAACCCAGGGCTTTGAACTTGCAGCCTTTTTGGTTGATAAATCTTATAATTGCTGATGATTTACCAGTTGTGCTAGGAGCCCCCAGTGGCACAGTGGGTCAAACCCCTGTGCCAGCAGGACTGAAGACCGACAGGTCACAGGTTCGAATCTGGGGAGAACACGGATGAGCTCCCTCTATCAGCTCCAGCTCCTCATGCAGGGACATGAGACAAGCCTCCCACAAGGATGATAAAACATCAAATCATTCGGGTGTCCCCTGGGCAACGTCCTTGCAGACAGCCAATTCTCTCACACCAGGAGCGACTTGCAGTTTCTCAAGTTGCTCCTCACACAACAAAAAACCAGCTGTGCTAAACCTCCGGTAATCTGCTATCAGATTATATGCTTCAAGATTATATCACTGAAGGGAGAACTAAATATACAAATGGACATCCTAAGGAGAACTGGGAGTCGAAATGGAAAGGCTTTATAGCCAGAGTAAAAGGGAAAGGAAAATACAAGGAGTTGAATCAGACAATCCTCATGATTAAACAAATAAAACAGAAGAAAGAGCAGAGGTACAACTGTTCCGGAGGGAGGGAGGAAGAGGGAGAAATTGGATAAGAATAAGTAGCAGATATAAGAAAAGGAATATAATGGATAGGAAAACAGGAATCATCAGAATGTTATGAGAATAAATGGAAAATGTTTTTTGTAAAGGTGACTGTGACAATGTTATAATTTACTTATATAACCAAATTATATATGGGGGGGGGGGAGAGCACCCTCTTCACCTTCCGTTGACCCTTTCCAGCAAAAACCTCTCCATGTAGAGGGAGGTCCAGGGTCCGAGCTGTCCCAGCCAATGGGTCACCTCCTCAGCCGTCCACTTGGCCACGGGTTTATGGACCAGGAGGTCATCTTCCGAATCCCGGCTGCTCCAGTGGTAGCCCAGCAAGACCACCTAGAAAGAGGTTTCACAGTTAAGAGGCACCAGGGTGCCATTTCTTTTGCAAAGTGGCCTGTTCCAGAAGGCTGCTGAAATGACAGGAAAGCTCTGAATGGTGGAATAAGGGCCAGAAAACACGCAGAATGCTCACAAACACAAGCACATTTTAAACTCGCGTATTGTGTTTTAAATACAGACAAGCCATTGAAATCCACAAGCATGTGGAAAATGTCAACAGAAAGGAGGAAACCATGAAAATGAACAAAATCTGGCTGCCTGTATTAAAAACTCTAAAATCAGGACAGTAAATAAAGATCAACACTCTGAAAACAGGGGAGTTCCAGACAAGAAACAACCAGGGCCAGATAACACCTCCCAACAAAAGATTCCCCCAGGTAGGAAGCAGCCAGGCTTTGAAGCTGCAAGGCTATTCAAATGCTAATCAAGGTGGCCTATTGCAAAATTCACACTTGCTTCAAGCACACAAGAGTTCTTTCTCCCACCCTGGACATTCCACAAAGATATAAACCTCATTTGCCTTGTCTCCAACAAACCTCGCAACCTCTAAAGATGTCTGACATAGATGTGGGTGAAACGTCAGGAGAGAATGCTTCTGGAACATGCCCAGAAAACTCACAGCAACCCAGAACCTATCTTGTTTGTAACTTGGGGGTGGCTTGTATTTTATAGAATATTTACAATGTTCACGTGTGTTTCGCTATATTGTAACCTGCCTTGAGCCACAAGGAAAGGCAGGTAAGAAAACTATTATTATTATTATTATTATTATTATTATTATTATTACTAGTGCACAACATATCTGTCTATTTGGGTCACCTATGGGTGCCCTTTAAATTTAAGCTGCTCCTTTGGAGAGAAGACAATGGGAGAGAGAGAAAAGAAGCTGGAAGCAGCACTCACGTACAGGGTTTTTTAAAAGAAAAAAGTATAATTCACAAGGAAGGAGAAGACGGGCAAAATCAGACCCAATAGTTGATATGACTATCCAATCATCTCTTTATTTATATTTCACCTTTCCTACCAAACTAGGACTCAAAGTGTCCTTACAAAAGACACAGAATTATTACAAAGGGACTCCTTTTTAACTTTCCTTTTCAGGGGATGTCTTCTGTCCTTTCTGTCAAAGGGAAGGGCTGATTCAAGGGGTCTATAATTATAATGTATTTGGTTATGTGTAGTCAGAATGACATTGACAAATGGACACTGACAAATGGAGTCAGGGCTGTGTAGCGACCAAATGGGCAGGAACTGGAAAGTTTTATTAACATGCAATAAAGTTCAATTGCTCATTGTTTTGTGGAAAAGAAAGCAAAGACATAGGGATCAGAAGATTTGCGTGTTTTATGACCCTGGCTACAATTTGTGTATAAGACCCACACACATATATACACATACCATATTGACTCGAGTCTAATGTGGCATTGAATCTAATGCACCCCTTTATTTTCAATACCCTGTAACCAAAAAAAGTATTTGCTGCCAAATATAATGCACAGCGCCAAAAACTAACCTCTTTGTCATTTGGCCATTACAGTTGCTGCCTGCTTAGAATTCCTACTCTAAAAACAAAAGTGTTAGGGCACCAAAAAAACTTTTTGGGTGCATTTTTTCTTGCTTAATGAATCCATTTGAATTGTCTTGGTTCAATGCTATGGAGTCATGGGGGCTGTAGTTTTACAAGGTCTTGAGCCTTCTATGCCAAAGAATGCTGATGCTTCACCAAAGTACAAATCCCAGGATGGCATAGCATTGAACTTTGGCCATTAAATTAGAGATGACGTCTCTCAAAGAGGAGTTCCTGGTGCAATTTCCTCTTTTGCTTTGGCTCAGTGATAAGATTACTGTATGACGCGACTCTAATGTGCACCCTAATTTTGGCCATGTGATTTAGACAGAAAAAGGTGAGCATCAGATTCAAGTAAAGAAGACATTATATATAAAAACACACTGAACAATGCATGTTTTTGTGCCAGATTCACTCCTGTGTGGTCTTTGAGGATCCTTTTACAATAATAATAATAATAATAATAATAATAATAATAATCTTTATTTCTACCCCGCCACCATTTCCCCGATGGGGACTCGGAGCGGCTTACATGGGGCCAAGCCCAGACAACATAATACAGCAATAAAATCAAAACATATACAACAAACAACAACATTAAAAATAATAATAATAATAATAATAATAATAAATAAATGAATAAAATAAAAATTTCAATAGACACAATCACGATAGAGATGACAATGGTCGGGCCACATATTCCAAATAAAAAACAATTAACAGACTATCATGAGATAAAATAGGAACAGGACGTTTATGTCTCTCCAACACAGACACAGCCAATGCTGAAAAGAGCAGGGCAAAAGCGCATCTTAAACTGGGGTGTTGTGTGGTTTCCGGGCTGTATGGCCATGTTCTAGCAGCATTTTTCCTGAAGTTTTGCTTGCATCTGTGGCTGGCCATACAGCCCAGAAAACGACCATATGGCCCGGAAACGACAGAACACTCCAGTGATTCAGGTCATGAAAGCTTTTGATAATAGATTTGCCACTGTTTAGGACAAGGACCACAATGCGGCACCGGTGCAGTCCCTTTGATAGGGAGTCCAGGGGGAGGGAGACGTACCGCCACACACGTCAATGCCGTTAAGACGCCAGAGAAAAATCCTCCTCCGCGTGGATTGATTCTCGCAGTGTTGGGTGCTGCCGGTGCCTGCTCCGTCCCATATTTATGGAAGGCAAGGAGACTGTCAGCAGCCTCCGGGTTTTGCCGAATGTCCCCTTTCCGCTGCTCGATAGCTTCTGGAAAGAGCTTCTCAATGGCATCCCTGGAACAAAATGGAAGTGCTGCCATTTGCAAAGGGTCTTTGATGGCCGTCGCGCAAAGCTAGGACCTTTGGCTCTCCAGTGTCCCCTAAACTACAACTCCCAACAGTAATCCTACTAACTGGGCAAGATAAGTGTAGATTCTCCCAAGAAAGAAAATGGGGGACGGTTTGGCAATTAGATCCCAGTTGGCTGTTCTAACCAAAACTGACTGTAAAATATCAGGATCACCTGAGGAGGATGTTGACTCTAGGGAAGCCCTCCCACTTCTCCCGGCACTCGGGGCATTCGTTCTTCTTGGAGGCAGCCCACCACAAGGCCAGGCAATGCCGGCAGAAGCTGTGCCCGCAGTTCAAGGTGGTGGGCTCCACCAGGACGTCGTAGCAGCAGTGGCAGGAGAACTCGCTTGCCGAGAGGCGGCGGGGGTTGGAGACCCCCGCAAAAGGGGATGACGCCTGGCCGCCTGGGCCCTCAGGCAGTCGCAACGGGACCTCCGCCTCCATCTTCGCTGCTGCAACTGGTCAAGCAGCCAGCAGGGAAGCCCTCCCCGGCAACTTTATGTCCTGTGGCACATTGTGGGCTCTGAGGGAAGGGAGAGAGACATCCATTATTCCACTGGCAGACAGCAGTCTTCAACATTGGGCTACAACTGGGTTCAAATCCCCACTCTACCGCAAAACCCACTGGCTAACCTTGAGCAAGTCACACACTCTCAGCCTTAGAGGAGGGCCAACTCCCCTTGTGAGATAACCCTGCATCAATAGCCTTAGGGTCTCCTTACATCTTGAAGATTAATACATCTTAACATATAACATCATCTAGATATACTGGATTCTGTTAAGATACTGGAATTGATGTCAGCCTGTTAGCTGTCGGCAACCATTTTATCTCTTAATAAGGTATGAGTTGTTTTAATTTTTATTCTGTTGAAATTCATATTTTGTGATTATGTCTGTTAGGATTGCCTAGTTTTATTTTTTGGTTAATTTCTATTTGACATTACATTTATAGCAATGGCTGTTTTATTTTCTGTGATGTGCCTTGTTTTGATGTTCTCTGTTATATGTCTTTTGTTGGCATTGGATGTTTGCCATGTGTGTCGGAAACTGCCCTGAATCCCTTCGGGGAGATAGGGCGGTCAATAAAGTTTTTAAAAAATATTATTACTAAATTGGAAAGGATTTGAAAGCACAGGGCATCAACAATTGCTTTAAATATGTTGCTTGTTGCTCTGGGTTCAATTTTCAGGAGAAAGAATATAAATGTCTCAAGTGCGGTTGGTGGGGACGAGACAGAGAGGCTTCTTTGTGGTGGCTCCCCGGCTCAAAGAATACCCTCCCAAAAGAGATTAAGTTAGCCCCCATCCTTCAATCCTTCCGATCCAATCTAAAAACATGGATGTTTAAACAGGTTTTTGATCTCGAATAGGCTGTAATGGGCCCAGATGAGGTTGACACTCTGGAACTTTAGTTGTGAACTAATGGCAGCTAGTATTAGCCATTTTATTTTATGTTTTATGTGTTATCATAATTTTATAATTGTAAGTGATAGTGTTTTATACTTATATAACATTTATGTTATATGTTGAACCCTAAAGTGCCTTTGTAAGCTGCCCAGAGTCACTTCAGGGAGATGGTGGCGGGATATAAACTTTATTATTATTAATATACTAACAACACCAATAGCAATACCGATAATACTACCAACAATCATATACTGATATACTAATAATATTCCAGTAGTTTTGATGATGTTGATCATAATAATAAAGTTGAGGCCTCAAAATCCAACTGACAATAAAAATAGTAACAACAATAATACTAATTGTAAAAACAATAGTAGAAGCAATAATAATGATATATAAAGAGATTCCATCTGAACATTGGGAAGAACTTCCTGACTGTGAGAGCTGTTCAGGAGTGGAACTCTCTGCCCCGGAGTGTGGTGGAGGCTCTTTCTTTGGAGGCTTTTAAACAGAGGCTAGATGGCCATCTGTCGGGGGTGCTTTGAATGCAATTTTCCTGCTTCTTGGCAGGGGGTTAGACTGGATGGCCCACAAGGTCTCTTCCAAATCTACGACTCTATGATTTTATATACATACTGCTAGTTGCTTTGAGTTCCATTTTGGGAAGGAAGGCGAGACATAAATGACTAAAATATACTTCTAACAATGTCAGTAACAACATCAACATTACTAATAATATAGCAGTAGTTTTAACAATAAGAGCAATAATAACAGTAATGGGAATATCAACAGAAATACATACACACACACACACATATGAAATGTATTGTGTGTGTGTATGTGTGTGTGTGTGTATAATATCATAATATTTATTTATTTAATTTCATTTCTACCCTGCCCTTCTCCCCACAGAGGGGACTCTGGGCGGCCTCACATCAATGATGCTATCAACATCTTCTATCTATATATATAAAAATGCTCTGTGCGTAATGAGTTCCTTAAAAACAAAAGAACCAATGAACGAAATCACACCAAATTTGGCAACAAAATGTCTCACAAGGCAAGGAGTGACCATCACTCAAAAAATTATGATTTTGTCATTTGGGAGTTGTAGTTGCTGGGATTTATAGTTCACCTAAAATCAAAGAGCACTCTGATCTCCACCAACGATGGAATGGAACCAAACTTGGCACACAGAACTCCCATGACTAACAGAAAATACTGGAAGGTATTGTCAAAGGCTTTCATGGCTGGAATCACTAGGTTCTTGTGGGTTTTTTCGGGCTATAGAGGCATGTTCTAGAGGCATTTCTCTTGACGTTTCGCCTGCATCTATGGCAAGCATCCTCACTACCTCTGAGGATGCTTGCCATAGATGCAGGCGAAACGTCAGGAGAAATGCCTCTAGAACATGGCCCTATAGCCTGAAGAAACCCACAAGAACCTAATACTGGAAGGGTTTGGTGGGCTTGACCTTGAGTTTTGGAGTTGTAGTTCACCTACATCCAGACAGCACTGTGGACTCAAACAATGATGGATCTGGATCAAACTTGGCATGAATACTCAAGTGTAAACACTGGTGGAGTTTGAAGAAAGTAGACCTTGACCTTTGAGAGTTGTATTTGCTGGGATTTATAGTTCACCTACAATCAAAGAGCAGAATGCCCCACCAACAAAAGAATTGGGTCAAACTTTCCATACAGAACCCTCATGACCAACAGAAAATACTGTGATTTCTGGTGGTCTTCTGAGACCCTTCTGAGACCCCCCCCAGGGGTCCTGACCCCCAGGTTGAGAAATGCTGCCTAAAGGCCATCTAGTCCAACTCTCTTCACCCGGGCAAGAAAACATAATCAAAGCCCTCCTGAGAAAGAGCCATCCAGTGTAGATATAGATAAATAGATATGATTCACACACACACACATATATATATGCCAGATATGTGTTGTTGTTGTTGTTCATTCGTTCAGTCGTCTCCGACTCTTCGTGACCTCATGGACCAGCCCACGCCAGAGCTCCCTGTCGGCCGTCACCACCCCCAGCTCCTTCAAGGTCAGTCCAGTCACTTCAAGGATACCATCCATCCATCTTGCCCTTGGTCGGCCCCTCTTCCTTTTGCCTTCTACTTTCCCCAGCATAATTGTCTTCTCTAGGCTTTCCTGTCTCCTCATGATGTGGCCAAAGTACTTCAACTTTGTCTCTAGTATCCTTCCCTCCAATGAGCAGTCGGGCTTTATTTCCTGGAGGATGGACTGGTTGGATCTTCTCGCAGTCCAAGGCACTCTCAGTACTTTCCTCCAACACCACAGTTCAAAAGCATCTATCTTCCTTCGCTCAGCCTTCCCTAAGGTCCAGCTCTCACATCCGTAGGTGACTACAGGGAATACCATGGCTTTGACTAGGCGGATCTTTGTTGCCAGTCTGATGTCTCTACTCTTCCCTATTTTATCGAGACTGGACATTGCTCTCCTCCCAAGAAGTAAGCGTTTTCTGATTTCCTGGCTACAGTCTGCATCTGCAGTAATCTTTGCACCTAGAAATACAAAGTCTGTCACGGCCTCCACGGTTTCTCCCTCTATTTTCCAGTTGTCAATCATTCTTGTTGCCATAATCTTGGTTTTTTTGACGTTTAGCTGCAACCCGGCTTTTGCGCTTTCTTCTTTCACCTTGATTAGAAGGCTCCTCGGCTCCTCCTCGCTTTCGGCCATCAGAGTGGTGTCATCTGCATATCTGAGGTTGTTAATGTTTCTTCCAGCAATTTTTACCCCAGCTTTGCATTCATCAAACCCCGCACATCCTTGCATGATGTGTTCTGCATACAAGTTAAAAAGGTTGGGTGAGAGTGTGCAGCCTTGCCGTACGCCTTTCCCAATCTTGAACCAGTCTGTTGTTCCGTGGTCAGTTCTGACTGTTGCTACTTGGTCCTTGTACAGATTCCTCAGGAGAGAGACAAGGTGGCTTGGGATGCCCATCCCACCAAGAACTTGCCACAATTGCCAGATATAGTATCATAGATTTCAAAGGGACCTCTAAAGAAGGACAATGATATGTTGCATGTTCCAGAGTAAGCAAAACAGACAATCTCTACATCAACACTGACAAGAAATACTGTTTACCCACAAGCCAACACTATTTTCCTGGGCCACAGCAACGCGTGGCAGGGGGCAGCTAGTACACAATAAAATTTAAATTAAAACCGTCAAACTCAATTTAAAACATTATACAATACATTAATAAATTCATTGATATTATATATCAATGAATTTATTAATGTATTGTATTGTATATTATATATATTATATCTTATATAAATATTATTTGAGTATATATAGATTCTATATGTATGATATATATATATATACATATGTATATATATGTGTGTGTGTATACACACACACACACACACACACATATATATATATATATATATATGTAGCAATAATAATGGTAGCTATGGTAATGATAACAATAACAATGGAAAGGTTCTACAGCCCAATTAGCAATAATTAAAACGATAACAGTCAGGCATTACTCCTCCTAGTAAGCTCTAAAGTCTCCCCTCCCTTCCCAGAAGGCCCCAAAGGGCCCCAGGGCCCCTCACCCGGACTACAAGAGCGGCGACACCATCGCGGTAGAACCCAGCCGGCATTCACTTCCGGGCGCGCATGCGTCTTGGCAACGGATGACGTCACCGCCAAGGCCGCTCTTTCAAGATGGGAAAGCCGAGGGAAACGACTGCGCCTGCGCGCCAGCCCTAGCGGCTAGACTTTCTCACAGGGATCCTCCGCCAGAAAGGGCGCTCGGTGGAAACAGCCGGAAGATGGGGGTGGGACTTCCTGTCTGTCAAAGCGAAACCGAAAGCAAAGGGTTTTTTGAGGAGAAGGAGGATACAGATTGTGTGTAAAGCGCATTTGAAGGGAGAGTTGTTGCTATTACTATTATTATTATTTTATTATATATTATTATTGTAACTTATTATTATGAACTCTTATTATTAAATAATATATAATAATTTAAATCATAAATAAACAAAATAATATTAAATGTATTATTATTATAAATGTATTATATTATTTTATTATATGTTATTATTGTAACTTATCATTATGAACTCTTACAATTAATAGTTATTAAATAATATGTAATAATTTAAATCATAAATAAACTAAATAATAATGTTCTTGTGGGTTTTTTCGGGCTATAGAGCCATGTTCTAGAGGCATTTCTCCTGACGTTTCGCCTGCATCTATGGCAAGCATCCTCAGAGGTTGAGAAGGTCTGTTGGAAGTAGGACAATGGGTTTATATATCTGTGGAATGGCTGGGGTGGGGCAAGGAGCTCTTCCCTGCTGCAGTTAGGTGTGAATGTTTAGCTGATCACCTTCATTAGCATTTGAAGGCCTGCCTGAGCCTGGGAAAATCTGTTGCTGGGAGGTGTTGATCTGTGCCTGGTTTTTTCCTCTCTGTTGTTTAGCTGTTATAATTTTAGAGTTTTCCCAGGAGGCTCAGGCAGGCCTTCAAATGCTAATGAAGGTGATCAGCTAAACATTCACACCTAACTGCAGCAGGGAAGAGCTCCTTGCCCCACCCCAGCCATTCCACCGATATATAAACCCATTGTCCTAATTCCAACAGACCTCACTACCTCTGAGGATGCTTGCCATAGATGCAGGCGAAACGTCAGGAGAAATGCCTCTAGAACATGGCCCTATAGCCCGAAAAAACCCACAAGAACCTAGTGATTCCAGCCATGAAAGCCTTCGACAATAAACAAAATAATATTAAATGTATTATTATTATAAATGTATTATATTATTTTATTATATATTATTATTGTAACTTATCATTATGAACTCTTACAATTAATAATTATTAAATAATATATAATAATTTAAATCATAAATTAACTAAATAATAATATTAAAAGTATTATTATTATAAATGTATTCTATTATTATTATATATTATTGTTAACTTATGAATTCTTACAATTAATAATTATTAAATAATATATAATACTTTAAATCATAAACAAAATAATAATATTAAATGTATTATTATTATAAATGTATTATTTTATTTTATTATATATTATTATTGTAATTTAAGAACTTTTACAATTAATAGTTATTAAATAATATATAATAATTTAAATCATAAATAAACAATAATATTAAATGTATTATTATTATAAATGTATTATATTATTTTATTATATGTTATTATTGTAACTTATCATTATGAACTTTTACAATTAATAGTTATTAAATAATATGTAATAATTTAAATCATAAATAAACTAAATAATAATGTTGTTCATTCGTTCAGTCGTCTCCGACTCTTCGTGACCACATGGACCAGCCCACGCCAGAGCTCCCTGTCAGCCGTCACCACCCCCAGCTCCTTCAAGGTCAGTCCAGTCACTTCAAGGATGCCATCCATCCATCTTGCCCTTGGTCGGCCCCTCTTCCTTTTGCCTTCCACTTTCCCCAGCATAATTGTCTTCTCTAGGCTTTCCTGTCTCCTCATGATGTGGCCAAAGTACTTCAACTTTGTCTCTAGTATCTTTCCCTCCAGTGAGCAGTCGGGCTTTATTTCCTGGAGGATGGACTGGTTGGATCTTCTCGCAGTCCAAGGCACTCTCAGAACTTTCCTCCAGCACCACAGCTCAAAAGCATCGATCTTCCTTCGCTCAGCCTTCCCTAAGGTCCAGCTCTCACATCTGTAGGTTACTACAGGGAATACCATGGCTTTGACTAGGCGGATCTTTGAAATAATAAATAATAATAATAATAATAATAATAATAATAATAAATGTATTCCCTACCTCTCTTTACAGCTTCTTAGGAGGCACAAGAGGGTTCAAACAGAAATAAAACTGAATGCTATTAAAATACATTGTGCTGTCACACACTGAGCCTGTGCATAAGACTGTAGACAGGACATAAATTCTGTGTGCCCAACGGGATGCCGGGGCTGCCTCATATTAAAGGTCTTTGGATTTCCTTAAAACAGAGTCTTTAGATTGCTTAAAGGTTCAACAATGTTCTTTATTAATGAAAACAAACAGGTACTTTAAGGCTTTCTTAACAGTCTATAGGCTCTTTCAATCTTGTCCACAGGGAACAGGCACTATCTTCATGACTGGTATTTTAACTAATGGGGAAATCCTTAACTTCTAATCTGGGCAGTCTGCCTTTGCCTCTGATACCAACCGCTTCTGGCTTCCGCGAGTGACCCTTACCAAGAAGAGCTTTGTAGACCTCCAGGGGAAAAGGAGTTCAGGTTTCAGTGATGGTTGAATGAAGTCCCTCCGCAAAGGAGCTGGAAGGCTGTATGATCCTGGGCCAAGCTGTGGGCTGTATAACTCTGGCCAAACTGTAGAAGACGAAGCTTTCTACAGGAGCTCTTGGTTTTATGTCCTGCATGAAAGCTTCTCTGTGTGGACTGAACCCAAAAAGGCTCCTATTCCCTCCAAAAACCCCAAAGGGGGTGGGACCAGGGAACCTAACTATAATTGACAGGTGGCTTGCCCTATGATTGCAGCCAAAAGAAGCCACCTATCTGCAGAGTCCCTGAAACTTAGGACTGCAACAAACATTCAATGCAAAGCAAACAAAATTGGAACTCCTGGTACAGTTGTACCTGCACATACATATTTATTTATTTTGTGCCAAAAGCATTGCATAAATAAATAAGTATAAAACTTAGAAAATATAAGGAGCACAAGTAGCTCAATAATTTTTGACCAAAAAACAGGCAACAGTAACCACATTGTAGCTTGAAACAGTTCTTTCTCTGTACATAAGGCAGCGCATGGTGGGCAAGCATACAGATGCTGAGTTGTTTGTTCTGCTCCACAATCGCACAAGGTGGAGGGTACTTCTAGGTAGTGTCATTTTGCCAGGTTGCCTTTTGATCTGCTCGCTCCATTTGTGGGGTCTGTTCAGGGACTTACAAGTTGTCCATTCTTGGTTTGTCCCTGGAGGCAGACCCTTGTCGGGGGCCATCCAGTTGGAATTGCCAGATTAGGTTTTTGTAAGTTTTTCGGGCTGGATGAGGTCCTCAAAAACGCCGAGGATGCCTGCCATAAATGCAGGCGAAACGTCAGGAGAGAATGCTTCTGGAGCATGGCCATACAGTCCTGAAAACTAATGATTCTGGCCATTAAAGCCTTTGACAACACATTGCCACAGAAGAATACTCTTTCTGTTGCTGGGGGAACATTTAGAGGAGTGGTAGTTCTCATGAAACTTTTCCTCGGAGGAGGCTGAGAGCCATATAGTGGGTAGCTTTTACAGTTTTCAACCTTTGTCTTGCAATTGGCAGCAAATTTCTGTTGTACATCAGGAGGGGCAGTGCCAGCTAGCTTATAAAGTCTATCAGCACATGTAGGTTTCAGACATCCTGTGATTATTCTACATGTTTTATTCAGTGTTATATTCACCTGCTTTGCGTGGGCAGACTTGTGCCAGATGGGGCAGTTGAGTAAGACAAGGCCAGGGTTGATCTTACTAATTTTGGCTCTGCACCCCATACGTTATCAGTAAGTTTCCACAGGAAACATATACACATAGCGAGATACAGTTAACATGCATTTATGTTCCAATAAAATGCAGGTTTAAATATCTATTAATACTGTGTTTCACTTATAGGCTGCATCCACACTGCAGGCCTATTTCAGTTTGCCACCACTTTGCTGTAGCTCAGTGTATGGAATCCTGGGGTGTGTAGTTTTGTGAGCTATCTACCCTCTTCTCAGAGAGCTCTGGGGCCACAACAAACTACAAATCCTCAAATTCCATAGCAATTAAAGGGATGCCAAACTGCTCTCCTTTGAGAGTGTAGCTAGGAGGCGAGTTAGATGGGGGTTTCTTCCTAAATATTATATATATATATATTGTGAAAGAGACCCCATCTACACTGCCATAGAATGCAGTGTCAGAATGTAGTTTAATTGCATTGAACTGGGTTATAGGAATCTACACTGGCCCCATTTCCACGGCTATATAGTCCTGTTTCTGAATCCAGATTATCTGCTTTGAACTGAATTATATGGCAGTGTAGATGGGGCCTGAGATTGTGTGAAAAATGAATATTTATCTGTCTATATATCCAATTCCTTCAAATCTAATGCTCACTTTTTTTTTTTGGCTAAATGACCCTCGCAAAATGAAGCTGCACATTAGATTCACACCATACAGTGATCTTAGTGCTAAGCCAAAACTAAAGGGGAAGCTGCTTCAGGAGCTCCTCTTTGATGGACCTCTTCTCTGATTTAATGGCCATGGCTTAATGTTATGGGATCCTGGGATTTGTAGTTTGGTGAGGCATCACCATTCTTTGGCAGAGAAGGCTCAAACTTTGCAAAACTACAAGATCTCATAGCATTGAACCAAGGCAATTTAAGTGGATTCATTCAGCAGCATAGATGCACCCCAAGGTTTTAATTTCCATTGCTGGAAGTTTGATGTTCTGACACATTTATTTTTAAAGAAAGAATCATAGAATCATAGAATCAAAGAGTTGGAAGAGACCTCCTGGGCCATCCAGTCCAACCCCCTGCCAAGAAGCAGGAATATTGCATTCAAATCACCCCTTACAGATAGCCATCCAGCCTCTGTTTAAAAGCTGCCAAAGAAGGAGCCTCCACACACTCCAGGGCAGAGAGTTCCACTGCTGAACGGCTCTCACAGTCAGGAAGTTCTTCCTAATGTTCAAATGGAGTCTCCTTTCTTGTAGTTTGAAGCCATTGTTCCACGTTGTAGTCTCCAGGGCAGCAGAAAACAAGTTCGCTCCCTCCTCCCTATGACTTCCCCTCACACATTTATACATGGCTATCATGTCTCCTCTCAGCCTTCGCTTCTTCAGGCTAAACATGCCCAGCTCTTTAAGCTGCTCCTCATAGGGCTTGTTCTCCAGACCCTTTATCATTTTAGTCACCCTCCTCTAGACACATTCCAGCTTGTCAACATCTCTTGAATTGTAGTGCCCAGAATTAGACACAATATTCCAGGTGTGGTCTAACCAGAGCAGAATAGAGGGGTAGCATGACTTCCCTCGATCTAGACACTATGCTCCTATTGATGCAGGCCAAAATCCCATTGGCTTTTTTTGCTGCCACATCACATTGTTGGCTCCTGTTTAATTTGTTGTCCACGAGGACTCCAAGATCTTTTTCACACGTACTGCTCTCGAGCGAGGCATTGTCCCCCATTCTGTATCTTTGCATTTTGTTTTCCTCTAATGGCCAAATGGCAACTCTAATGGCCAAATGCCAAAGAGTGCACTTTTTACTGTTTCACACCACATTCAGCAGCAAATACTTTTTTTGGTTTTGGGGTTTTGAAAATAGAGGTACGCCTTAGATTTGGTGGCGCATGAGACGCGAGAAGATGGACATGTTCTCAAAAAAGGTAGGTGGCCTTTCCTAATTTGAGGGCTTTCCTCCCCCCTGCGTTGCTCTTATGCCGCATCGTCTGGCGCCAGCTTCTGGACTAAACTTGGCTCCTTGGGAATGCCAGAGACAAGTCTGTGGATCTCATCTATTCTGAGCACAATCCAGGGCCTCTTTTTAGCTTTTTGGAGGGAGGGAGGGAGGGAAGCAGAGCATTCAGGAAGGTATGCAGAGGCAGCTACAGCAGCTCACACAAACAACAGAGTTTGAGACTAAACCACATCTTTTGAATTCATAGCCTGCATTCAGAGGCTCTTAGGATGGGACAAAAGCTGTCAGTTTTTCTGATTTTGGCTGCGCTTTTTCTCCAGGATGCCTTCCTTCAACAACCAGCGGCTGGAGAAGCAAGAAAGCCGTTTTTTGAACGATTTCGGCGACTGGAAGAGCAGGTGAGTAATAACATGATGTAACATAATTTTTGTTCCTGGGTTATAAATGTTATTTCATAATTGGTTATATCATAAAAACATGGGAAAAGTTTATTAAACTGCAGAAACCTTGTTTTTGTGGGAGGGACATCCTGCAGCACATTTTGCTTTAGTTATTCAATGAATATCTCATTGGATCTCAACCAACTCAACATAGGTTCTTGTGGGTTTTTCGGGCTATATGGCCATGTTGTTTCGGGCTATATGGCCAAACAACCAGGCACATCTTAACACCTCTCAACAAAAGATTTCCCCAGGCTCAGCCAGACCTTCAAATGCTAATCAAGGTGGTAAGTTGAAACATTCACACCTAGCTCCAGCAGAGAAGAGCTCTTTGCCCCACCCCAGTCATTCCACAGATATATAAACCCATTTTCCTAATTCCAACAGACCTCACTACCTCTGAGGATGCTTGCCATAGATGCAGGCGAAACGTCAGGAGAAAATGCCTCTAGAACATGGCCATATAGCCCAAAAAAACCCACAAGAACCTAGTGATTCCAGCCATGAAAGCCTTCGACAATACATTCAACTCAACATAGTTTGTGACAGCTACAAAAACAAAGTTTCTGGAATACAACTGCTTTCAAAGTAAATTAAACAGGAAATAAAACTTACATTAAACAGGAAATAACACTTTCAAAATAGGGACAGAAAATGTTTCAACTTTTTACATAGTGTAATAATAGTAATACTAATTGATCTCCTACCTACCTCTCCCCACCATACAACTATATAATCCAGTATCAGACCACAGTTTATCCACTTTAAACTGGATTACATTAGTCTACACTGCCATATAATCTGGTTCAAAGCACATAAACTGGGTTATATAGCAGTGTAAATCCAGCCCTAGTTAAAATACATATAAGGCCATTAAAACGCATACTTTAAAAGACAGAGACTGGATCTATACTAGGTCTACGTTGACTATACAATGGATTAAGGCTGGATCCATGCTGGGTCTACATTGACTATACAACGCAAATTCAAACTGCATTATGTGGTAATGTGGATGCACCCTAAATTACATTAAAACAATTTAAAGAGTTGAGGTTGTCGGATGGACGTTTCTGGAGACAGATGCTAAACCCACCTTTATAACAAAAACAAGCAGAAATCTCTCCAAATATTTAGGAATCAGTAGGAGGTTTTTGCTCTCTCAAAGTGATCTGACAGATTCTGAATTCCCCAGAATATTTTGCATTTTCATATACAGTGAAACATCACTTTGACTCAATTTTTATAGGAGAATGTATTAAATGAAATAAGCTGTTCTATAAGGAATAGGATAAACTTGAGGGTGGGATTGATGGATGAGGCACTCATACTTTGAGAAGGAATGATCACAATGTTGTGTGGTCAGAAATATAACGTAGCAGCAGCATGTTAATCTAGTAATTCTACTACAGAAATATTTCCAGTTAACCCTATAAATAAGGACACTCAGCTGGAGCCTTGCTCATGGCCTAAATATAGACAGTTTTACTCATCTGCTCCAAGAAGTCAGTGGGGAAGGGAAAGGAGCTCTTGAATCCCATATTAGAATCATGGGATTACAAATTTGGAAGGAACCCCAAGAGCCATCTAGACTAACCCCCATTTTGTCAGACAAGAAATCAAAGCCTTCCCGACAGATGGCCATCCAGCCTCTCTTTAAAAGCCTCCAAAAAAGGAGCCTTCACTGGACTCCAAGGCAGATTCCACTGTTACTAATACATTATATTATACTAGCTTAGGTAACTGGCAATGCCTGGGTTAGGTCTTTTGTAACAATAAGCATAAAAGCATTAATTGTTGGGTTTTGGATTTTAAGAATGAATCCATTAGAAAATGCATAAGAAGGTGAGTAACCGACAACTCCCATCATCTGTCATTGTTCAGATCTATCATTATTTAGCTTCATAGTGCTCTTTGGATGTAGGCGAACTACAACTCCCAAATGTCAAGGTCAGTTCCTCCCAAACCCTGCCTGTATTCAAAGTTGGTTTTGTTGGGTCCATGTGCCAAGTTTGGTCAAGATCTATTGTCAGTTGGTTTCACAGTGCTCTTCGATTGTGGGTGAAACTATAACTTCCTGAATTGTGGCTCAATCCTTTCAAAACTCCACCATTATTCAAAGTTGGCCATATTGGGTCTGTGTTCCAAGTGTGGTCGAGATCCATCATCAGTTGGGTTCAGAGTGCTTTATGAATGTTTGTGAACTACAACTCCCAGAGTCTATGCTCAATTCCCCTTCCAATCCCCTCTGTTGGTCATGGGGGTTCTGTGTGCCAAGTTTGGTCCAGATCCGTCATCGGTGGAGGTCACAGGGATCTCTGGATGCGGGATAAACTACAACTCCCACCATGGCAGATCAATCCCCTCCCAAACCCCTCCAGTATTTTCTGTTGGTCATGGGGGGTGTCTATGTACCAAGTTTGGTCCAGATCCACCATTGGTGGGGGTAGTCACAGGGTAGTGGGAACCAACAGGAAATTGGCCAGAAACATACATACAATCCTGCAAATGTACCTTATTGAGGATTTCAGTATCTAGAATCCAAAGGAACAAGGTTGGGAGTTGTAGTCCACTATAACCACCCACGGGAATAGATCGCTTTCCAAGGGCTTCATTACCCAGAATCCAGGAATAAAGGCAGTTGTCCAAAACAAGGGGGCACTTCACCCAAATTATGGATTATTGTAGTCAAAGCGAACAAAGTCATACTTTTCATAGTTGAAATAAGAAAGATGATATTTTAAAATTATTTTTAGGTTGGTTTTTCTATATAGTCCATTTTTTCCCCAAATGTTTATTTTTTGTTTTGTTTTGACTTTTTGCTTTTCTAAATAAGAAAGTTAGTCATTTTTCATCATTTTGCATGACTGGTTTCTCTTTTCATATATGATCCGACTCCAGAATGCTTTAATTGATTATTGGAGTCCTGCATTTTTATTGTTGTCTTCTTGCTTTTCTGAATTAGAAAGTTGGTAGTTTTTCATGGGTTTCTCCCCTTATATTCCACTGGAATGCTTTCACTGAATGTCCTAATCCTGCCATTTTGGGGCTTTCCTCAGTTTCGCCGGTTCCAGGAGGTCACCCTCCTCCGTCTCCAAGAGATTGCCGGGAACTATAATGTCTCTTACAACATCGATGCCCGGTTCGAGCAGCTCTGGGTCCGGCAGGAGGCCATGGGGGCTGCGGCCAATGCCACCCAGGCCAACATGGAGGCCGAGCTCAACCAACTGAAATCCTGGGCCAAGAGGTTTCAGCGTAAAGCCAAGAAGCAGGAGGCAGAAAGGAGGGACCAGGAGAAGAAAGCCCAGAAGGAACACGAGGCCTCCCTCCTGGCCAATCTGACCCAAGCAGTGGCCCTTTGCAACGAGGAGGGCCAGGCCAAGCTGGAAAGCTTCCAGAAATTAATCGAAGGGCTCCAGGATGCCCTGAAAGCCCAAGGGAGCAAGATAGATGGACTAGAGCAACAGCTGAAGGAGAGTGCTGACCACAACGAGGTGATCTTGCCCGGTCACTTGGCCGCAGCCCACCTTCTGAGTCAGGAGCCACAGGCGGCTGGTGGCCAGAGACCCACTTTGAGGAAGCTGCAGGCCAAGCACCGGCAAAGGGAGAAGCTGCAGCAGGAAAGCARCCGGCTGGTGGCGGCCCAGATGCAAAGCAAAGGGATGGAGAGTGGGGGCCRTCTTGGCCTGGAGGGGGCCCCAAAGGACATGCCCCCAGACCCAGAGGAGCTCCCTCYGCCAGGACCACAGCCAGCCGCCCAGAACAAGGGGCAGAAGYCACCAGGAGCRARGCGGAGGCCAGGCACAAGTGRGTACCAAGGCGTTCTTAGCCTCACCCARTTTGGGGGCACCTGCACTGCAGAATGAATGCAGTTGGAGACCATTTGAACTGCTATGGCCCAYTGCTYTGTGYTCTGTGTYTTGTAGTTTGACAAGGCCTTGAGGTGTCTCTGCCTGAGATTGCTGGTGCRTCATCAAACTCCATAGCATTGTTAKTGTTGTTATCACTTTTATTTCATCTCTCCTCCCTCCCTTGCAGTCTGCAATGTGAGGTCCATTGAGGTCTTCCCTATTATTATTATTATTATTATTATTATTATTATTATTATTATTATTATTAAACTTTTTTTGTAGACTGCCCTATCTCCCCGAAGGGACTCAGGGAGTTTCCAACATGTACAGAAAACATTAAGTYCCAAAAGGGAAGACATACAAACAAATTACATCAGGACAGACCACATTAAGCAATATAAAAGCAACTGAACTTTAAACTTAATAATAGACAAAATAATCAATAATGAAAACTTATGCAGGTGAAACGTCAGGAGAGAATGCCTCTAGAACATGGCCATATAGCCCGAAAAAACCTGCAACAACTCAATGAAAACCTAAATGACCCATGCAAACATAACGCTTAATATACATTTAAGACTTGATATAAACATCTAAGAACAATAGCTAAAACTATTATTGTTGTTATTGCCATTGCCTTTATTCTTATTTCCTCTCTCCTCCCTTCCTCCCTACAATGTGGGCTTCATGCTAGTCTTCCCCAATGCTGCTATTATTATTATTATTATTATTATTATTATTATTATTATTTTACTGACACAAAAATACAGTATGACACAGCAAACGAAATATATATGCTGGATTTCATATCACAAAATCACAAGTCAAAAACTTCCCAAGCGTTTAGAACTGTGTGATGTATTGATATTATTATGATTGTTGTTGTTGTCATTATCCTTATAATTATATCCTGTTTCCTCCCTTCCTCCTCACAGTCTGCAATGTGGGCTCCATGCTGGTCTTCCCCAACAATTCCACTGAGAGCTTTGCCTCCTTTGGTCCATCCTTCCTCCCAGCTGCTCTGCTTGAGTTGAGCCTCTGCGGCTGGGTCCGCACAGGAGCTGGCTACTTGGGCACGATCCTATCTTACGCCACGGAGGAGAACGACAACAAGCTGGTGCTCCACGGACGGGACGCAGCCCCACGCAGCACCGTCCACTTTGTCATCGGGGACCCCGCTTTCCGGGAGCTTCCTGTGGGGCGCCTCCTGGACGGGGCCTGGCACCACTTCTGCGTCATCTGGTCCTCCCTCCAGGGCCGCTACTGGTTCTACGTGGACCGGAGGGTGGTCTCGGTGGGCTCCCACTTCCGCAAGGGCTATGAGATCCCCTCAGGAGGGTCACTGGTCCTGGGCCAGGAGCAGGACAGCCTTGGAGGTGGGTTCGAAGCCTCCGAATCATTTGTGGGGTCCTTGGCAGGAGTGGCACTGTGGGACCGGGCTCTAACACCTGGGGAGGTCTCCGGAATGGCAGTCGGGAACGGAGTTCCTCGAGGACCCCTCCTCACTTTGGCCAATGTCTCTGAACTCCATGGATCAGTGGAGAAGGTGGACTGCGCCTGCCTCGAACATTGCCTTTGAAAGAAAAAGGGACACATGCCATGGGCCAAAATCCTCTAGGATGCAGCTTATGGTGGTATTTTTTTCTCCTTATAAATCCCGCAGAAACAATCCTGTTCTCATTTCCATATATATATATCTGTGTGTATATTTTTAGTTGGTTCAGACTATAGAAAGGGTTGCAAAGAGATTCAGACTATAAAGGGTTGCAAACAGAAAGTGGCAAGAATCTAACTGCATTGCTAAGCCTTTTATTTCTGAGTCTAGAAAAATGTTTTGGATTCTAATTTTCCATATATATATACATAGACAGACAAGCACTCTCGACCATAGAGTTGTGTGTGTGTGTATATACACACACACACACAATTATATGTATGTGTGCATATTAAATTGAAAGGGTCAGGCCATAGGTGCCTCTACATTATACAGAATTCATGCTTTTTGACCCCACTCCAACTGCCATGGCTCAATACTATGTAATTCTGGGCCCTGTAGTTTCATGCATTCTTTAGGAGTCATAGCTATTGATTTAAATTGGTTTTAACTTTGTTTTTAAAACTGCTAATATGAAAATCTATTTTAATGTTTGTATATGTTTAGGTTTTATATTGTTTTGATTGGTTTTACTGTATGCTGCTTTGAGTTTCTTTTTTGAGAGATATAAAGAGAAGTACAAAGACGTAGAGGAAGAAGAAGAAGAGACTGGCATGCGACATGGACATCTATTGGAAATAATACTTCTTACAAGTGCCTCTAAATGCCCTTTGCTGAAAAAGTAACTGCAAATAATCAGGGGAGGGGAGGGAGTTCAATGCATCAATAAAGTAACTTTGTTCCTCGCTCGTGACCTTATTTTGTCCTACATCGGATGAGACCAAGAGGGAAAGAACTCTGGACCTGGCTTGGCCTATTTTCCTTTTTGATGTCAAGAGGGAAGCAAAGCTATGCTGCTCCTTTAAGGCAGGCCATGTCTCAGGAAAAAATGGATTAAGGTGGAAAGTCAGGCCTGGATGAGGAGGATGGTGAAGGGATGCTGATCTTGAGTCATGGGCCTTCTCTCAGCCCCTGCTCTCCACTATTTAAATATTCACTTCCCCCATTGAAAGCTAAATTTGCTAAAAAAATAAAATAATTATAGAATTATTAATTCCACAATTACAGAGGGTTATGGGTGTGTCCTAATACAGGGTGCCCCCAATATATGTTTACTAAAAATTAAATAATTCAAGGATTACAAGACATCAAGGGGGCATATGTGTGTATATGTGTGTGTGTGTATTACACACATACACATGTATATATGCATGTACATATATATATATATACATGTGTTGATATGTATAAATATACTAGCTAAAGTATTTGGCATTCCCTGGGTGTGCATTTTGTAAGGGCATTTATTAGTAAAAATAATGCTAAGTTTTACAATTGTAGGGATGGGTAAAGCTTCAGACCGAAACACAAAACTCTCTCTTCTTCAGGTAGTTGGCGCACCTGGTTGATTTAGGTCTCCATGGCAACCCTCTAGTGCCCTCTTGGAGTAACACCTGGCTTTGTGACCTCTCAATGAATTTGGGGGGCAACAACTGGCTCTTGTGACCTTTTGGTGAATTCTTGGGGCAACACCTGGCCCTTTCTCGAGACCTCTCAGTGAATCCCTAGGGCGACACCTGGCTCTTTCTCACAACCACTTGATGAACTCTTGGGGCAACAACTGGCCCTTTCTCATGAACTCTTAGGGCAACAACTGGTTCTTGCAACATTTCAGTGAACTCTTGGGGCAACAACTGGCCCTTTCTCATGACCTTTCAGTGAACTCTTGGAGCAATACCTAGTCTTTTCTTGCGATCTCTCGGTGAAGTTGGGGCAACAACTGGCCCTTTTTCGCAACCTCTTGGTGAACCCTTGGGGCAACAACTGCCCCTTTCTTACGACCTCAGCAAGCTCTTGGGGCAACTGGCCCTTTCTCGCGACCTCTCAGTGAACTCTTGGGGCAACACCTGGCCCTTTCTCGTGACCCTTCGGTGAACTCTTGGGGCAACAACTGGCCCTTTCTTACAACCCTCCAGTGACCTCTTGGAGTCACAGCTGGCTCTTTCTCCCACATTTCTAAGCGTTTGCTCTGCCTTATTTTTTTTTAGGTCACCTGACTTGATTAAAGACGCAAACCTATTCACGCCAAAAAAAGCACAAAACCTACAAACATATTTTGACTTAGAATCATAGAATTGGAAGAGACCTCATGGGCCATCCAGTCCAACTCCCTGTCAAGAAGCAGGGGTTTTTTTAGATATAAAATTTGTATATATTTTATTTTACATATAAAATAAAATATATACAACATTTATTATAGATATGCATATAGATACAAAGTATCTATACTAAATATAAATATGTTTTAATCAATTTTAAGGGGTTTAGATGTTTATTTTTTAAACCCGTTCATATTTATATAGGTATATATGGGTATGCATGTATATGTATATATGTGTATTATGTGTGTATATGCATATATGTATAAATATGTATATACATGTGCATATGTATATACATCTGTATGTATATATGTGTGTATATAGGCATATAAATGTGTATGTATGTGTTTATATGTATATATGTATAAATATGTATCTGCATATATATATATATATGTATGTATATATATGTATATAAATGTGTGTGTATATATGTATATATATATATATACATATACATACATATATATGTGTGTGTGTGTATCTATATAAATAAAAATGTAATGTTCGTTTGTGGGATTAACAGAACTCAAAACCACTGGATGAATTGACACCAAATTTGGACACAAGACACCTAACAACCCAATGTATGTCCTTCACTCAAAAAAATTGATTTTGTTGTTTGGAAGTTGTAGTTGCTGGGATATGTTTGCATTCACTGGACCAAATTTGGCGCAAATACCCAATATGCCCAAATTTGAGTACTGGTGGGGTTGGGGGGGTTGATTTTGTCTTAGGGAGTTGTAGTTGCTGGGGTTTATAGTTCACCTACAACCAAAGAATATTCTGAACTCCACCAATGATGGAATTGGGCCAAACCTGGCACTCAGGACTTCCATGACCAACAGAAAACACTGGAAGGGTTTGGTGGACATTGACCTTGACTTTGGGAGTTGTAGTTCACCTACATCCAGAGAGCATTGTGAACTCAAACAATGATAGATCTGGACCAAACTTGGAACCAATATTCCATATGTCCAAATATGAACACAGATGGAGTTTAAGGGAAATAGATCTTGACATTTGGGAGTTGTAGTTGCTGGGATTTATAGTTTACCTACGATCAAAGAGCATTCTGAACCCCATGAACGACAGAATTGGGGCAAACTTCCCACACAGAACCCCCATGACCAACAGAAAATACTTAAGGGGCCACCCAGTCCAACTCTCTTCACCAGGGAAAGAAAATGTAATCAGAGCCCTCCTGACAAAGAGCCATACAGTCATATAGATAGATATGATTCTCACACACACACACAGATATAGTATCATAGATTTGAAAGAGACCCCTAAAGAAGGACTATGATATGTTGCATGTTCCAGAGTAGGCAAACCAGAAACAATCCACATCAACACTGACAAAGAAACAACAAGAAATACTGTTTACACACAAGGGGGCCTGAGGCCAGGCTGTTAGGAATTCTGGGAGTTGAAGTCCAAAACACCTGGAGGGCCGAAGTTTGCCCATGCCTGGTCTGGGGCCTTGGGGACTCCATTTCCCGTGATGCTCCGGGAGGCAGGGGCGTCACGTGACACCCGTTCTTCGCCTCCTCCCCTTGGCCCCGCCCCTCCCTCCCTCCCTCTTTCTCTCCACAGCCGGGTCACATGACCGCGGGCCCCTTCTGCCTGCCGGCTTCCCCTCCTCGGCCGCGGCGATGGCGAACGTCTCGAAGAAGGTGTCTTGGTCCGGCCGGGAGCGGGAGGCCGAGGGCCGCGGGGAGGCCACGCCCCTCCTGCTCAACGGCGCCAGAGGGAGGCAGGTGAGGCGGCGACGGGGGCCGCGGGGGGACACCCTTCCTCTTCATCATCAGCATCTTCTTCTCTGCGCAGGCGCAGTCCCCCTCCCTTCTTTCCTCCTTGCTGCCAAAAGGGGGCTTCTCAGGCACTTCACTTTGGCCACACTTTAATGGCTCACTGCTAGGGAACCCCTGGGAGCTGTAGTTTCCCAAAGGCCTTGAGCCTCCTTTGCCAAACTACAAATCCCAGTGAGTAGTGAGCCTTTACAAAGTAGGACTGTTAGGAATTATGGGAGTTGAAGTCCAAAACAGCTGTAGTTTCCCAAGGGTCTTGCGCCTCCTCACCCAAACTAGAAATCCCAGGGCTCCCCTAGCAGTGAGCCTTTACAAAGTGGGACAGTTAGGAATTATGGGAGTTTAAGTCCAAAACACCTATAGTTTCCCAAGGGCCTTGCGCCTCCTCTGTCAAACTACAAATTTCAGGGCTCCCCTAGCAGTGAGCCTTTAGAAAGTGGGACTGTGAGGAATTGTGGGAGTTGAAGTCCAAAACACCTGTAGTTTCCCAAGGGTCTTGCGCCTTCTCATCCAAACTACAAATCCCATGCCTCCCCTAGCAGTGAGTCTTTACAAAATGGCTGTAGTTTCCCAAGGGCCTTGCACCTCTTCTGCCAAACTACAAATCCCAGGGCTCCCCTAGCAGCACAAAGTGGGACTGTTAGGAATTGTGGGAGTTGAAGTCCAAAACACCTATAGTTTCCCAAGGGTCTTGCACCTCCTCTGCCAAACTACAAATCCCAGGGCTCCCCTAGCAGTGAGCCTTTAGAAAGTGGGACTGTTAGGAATTATGGGAGTTGAAGTCCAAAACAACTGTAGTTTCCCAAGGGCCTTCCGTCTCCTCACCCAAACTACAAATCCCAGGGCTCCCCTAGCAGTGAACCTTTACAAAGTGGGACTTTTAGGAATTATGGAAGTCCAAAACACCTATACTTTCCCAAGGGTCTTGTGCCTCCTAACCCAAACTACAAATCCCAGGGCTCCCCTAGCAGTGAGTCTTTACAAAGTGGGACTGTTAGGAATTATGGGAGTTGAATTCCAAAACAACTGTAGTTTCCCAAGGACCTTGCGCCTCCTCACCCAAACTACAAATCCCAGGGCTCCCCTAGCAGTGAGCCTTTACAAAGTGGGACTGTTAGGAATTATGGAAGTTGAAGTCCAAAACACCAATAGTTTCCCAAGGGCTTTGCACCTCCTCTGCCAAACTACAAATCCCAGGGCTCCCATAGCAGTGAGCCTTTACAAAGTGGGACTTTTAGGAATTATGGAAGTCCAAAACACCTATACTTTCCCAAGGGTCTTGTGCCTCCTAACCCAAACTACAAATCCCAGGGCTCCCCTAGCAGTGAGCCTTTAGAAAGTGGGACTGTTAGGTATTATGGGAGTTGAAGTCCAAAACACCTGGAGGGTATAAGTTTGCCCGTGCCTGGTGTAGACGCACTCGGAGAAGGCCTTGCCAAACTACAACTCCCAGGTTCCCGTGGCAGGGGAGTTTCAAACTGCATTTATACCAAAGTGCAGAAGAATCATCCCCCCTATCTTGTGCTGAACTAGTGTCCAGTCATCTACACTGTAAATTTAATCCAGTTTGGTCCCACTTGGACTGCCATGGCTCAGTGCTATGGGATCCTGGGAGTTGTGCTTCTGTACAACTGGAGACCTTGTCAAACTACAACTCCCAGGATCTAGCCCAGGCACGGGCAAACTTCGGCCCTCCGGGTGTTTTGGACTTCAACTCCCACAATTCCTAACAGCCGGTAGGCTGTTAGGAATT